GTGGATAAAGGCTCGCGGGACGAGAGCGGCGAGCGGTGTCAAACATCGCGGCTATTTTCAAGACGCTCGTTTTAATTTCGTTTCTTTAATTTCTGCTCCTTTCGGAATTCCTTCAACTGCGTGATGCCTCGTGGGGGCCGAGGGAAAGGGGTGAGGGAGGAACTCATAGATCTGATACGCTTTTTTTCAGCCACCTCGACGTCTTTCCGGTCCGCGTCTTGCTTCAGGCGGGAAAATTTCACACTTTTGAAGAGCAACTCAACAATGAGAAGGCGTTCCGCCACTTTCCTGAGATTGGGAGGTCTTTGAAGTGAATCCTGGGTTCTTTGTGCCGCATGTCGCCATCATTTTCGTGCCAATCAGACGGACTCGAATCTAAAGAGACTATCTCTATTTTAATTTGAGCCCTGTCGTGGATTTATTCTCACGGTTCTTATGATCCCAGTCACAATCTCACTATGGAGATTTTTGAGAAATTCTACTTAAAAAATTGATCGCATATCGATATGCATTAATGAGATTTCTTCCGCCGTAGTTTTATCTTTGTTTTTGAAAAAATTTTACTTCAAAATTTGATCTAACACTTTTTAGTAATGCATCTACTTGGTACTACATGGGTCAAAGCTTTTAAAAAGTGTACATCACGATGTCGGATACACGCGCAGGGCTACAAACCTTCAATTCACCTTAAATATACGCGTCAAAACGCTTGTTAAACCTTGTACTGTTGTTTGTTTCAACTGTTTTGCCTGTGTTAAAATTATCGTTTCGGGCCTCCCAATGCAATCCAATTTTATAATTAATAAAGTATCCTTTATTGTGGTGCAGAGTTGTCTATGAGTGTAATTTATAAATGCACAGATTTTTTCAATTTGCGAAATTCATTTCCCCAAGTTACTGATAATTGACACGATTGCCTCAAACTGCTTTTTGTTTTGAGATAATGTAAAATGAACCGATTATTTTCTAAAGGATGCAAACGTCATGGACATGATTTAGAGAAAAATTAGTAAAACTGTAGCATTGGGTTGAAATCATCAGCAGGTTTGCTGCTAATCGTATAATGCCAAAAATTTGGGACCAAAAAAATGTGCAATGCCTCACAAATTTGCAACTCCTTCGCCGAAAAAATAAGGATGCTTATACGTCACTCATGGAAAAAACTCGATTAAGATCGCCCGTTTTCATACAGCAGATTTTCAATCCTCGAAACCGGGTCATCCCTTGAAAATGAAATAGCAATCTTCTTATATCCACATAGACAATAATGATCCACTGAATGAAACCCAATGTTTGAGATTCTGGCTCACGTAAAAAAAGATTAAAATCGCCCATTTTCACTAACTTAAAACTGGGAAAGAAAAGATAGGACGAATGTCACATCGATCTGAAGTGCATCAATCAACAGTTTCCTCAAAGGTCAGCACGAGCACTCTTGTTGAATGGTGCTTAATCTTGTCTTTCCCCAGTTCTAATGGCAGATAATGCATCGCGTAAACCAAATAATACCTTAAAAATGCAATAAACTCATGTTATATAACCGCATGGGCAAGATATTCCATCGAAATCTCATTTTTGAAATTTTGAAACTTATAATGTTTGGATTTTTTCCAATACGGAACCACAACACTATCTCTGGCTCTGTGATCAAAGCACACATCTGCATAGGAAAATCAATAGCACGTTTGTCGTTTCTAAAATGGGCCAGAAATAATGGTTCCTTATTGCAAAATGTAATCCGTTTGAAAAAAAATCGGTTAAGATGTTCTCAAAGTATGAGTTTTCGGACGTGTTATTCCCGATTCAAGTTGGCAACTAATATTAGCGCTAAGCCCTCAATCATCGGTGCCATTCATTACTTTGAGAAATTATTAACAGCTCGAGCTCGCATGAGCCGTGTGCTGACGCCCGGCGAAATCCGTAAATTAATCCCGATTGCCAAGTCCGGAACTCTCCGTTGTCGGTTTTCCGCCGCCGGAAATAGAGAGCTGATATCTGTCGCATTAAATTTCAAAACCAAATTATAGCAGCCCGGCACTTAAGTATAATCAAGAGGACATACTGCACGGAACAAAAAACAGGCTAAACACATACTTTGGTTCATGTTGAACACCGAACTTTTTCAGTTCAGGTAACCGAGTTTTCATCTGAGGTATTCGAAGTTTTTGATCGCCTGGACAAAAATGTTCGGTGTTCAATATGAATCGAAGTTAAGCATCTGTTACCGACCTTTTTTGCTCAATGAGTAGAGCCAAGCGTGGAGGTGAGGCTGAGGAACATTAAAGAGAAACAACACGGAGAATATCTATGACTTTATAAACCAATTAGTAGTTCAGATGGAACATCACTAATAGTCGTAAATGAACTAATGATTCTCGGTCTGTGGACCATACTAAGGTATGTCTTACTATAAGGTATGTATACCATCACTAAGGAATATGCGATATTATTATATGTCGCCTAGTGATGTTCCATATCAACTCCTAATAGGTTTATAAGCCATAGCTTTTTCTCATCAGTGAGCACCAACGCCCAAAATTGCCAACGCTCAAAAAGCGATCCAAAAAGTGGGTCACCCTCCATGCAGGACATCTAAAAATCTCATTAAATTGAGGCATACAACCATCTGTCGATCTCACACATTCGGGATCCCTCCATCAATAAATACCTTGCAACTGAAACAATGTATAATACAAACTTGAGGCTTATTGGTCACCCCCATTTGCATCTCTGGCCAATTACAGATCTGGCCGGTTTAAATGAGGGTAAAAGTAAGTCCTCGTTGTCTACAGCTTTGTCTAACAATTTCAATAATCAGCCGGCTGGCGGATGATTGATGGAGAAAGGCTTGCGGAGATGCCTGATGATGAACATACCTTTCAGCTCTCTCGGCCCTGATTGAGACGTCTTGGGGCGGACAGCGGACACCCCGACCGTCGATTCTTAGCTTTACTGGAGAAATAACGTAACTCCATTTTCCCGAGGATTCTAGACACAACGAAAATCAAATGCACGGAGGGTTCTCCCCGGCTTTAACTAATCCCGATATAACCGTGATTGCGCCAGCGATGCCTCGCCGATCGAGATCCATCCCGTAACTCTCTCATCCTCGCGTGAGCTGGACCGATTAACAACTTTTCGAAGCTCCTCATCTCCTCCACGCTGAGGATTACGTCACGAGTCTGCTCAGGGACGCCTCCAAACCTTCGCTTAAAATTCACTTGTGACCCTTCTCGAGAAAAGGGACCGCAAAAAAAATTACGGATCACTTTTTATGAAAATTATGAACCGTTGATTGTATAGCATACAAATGGATTAGTTGCGCGAGTCATGATGTAGAATCTTGTTTTGGTGGTTTTAGTTTACGGTAAAATTGATAAGATCCGTCCAAAAGTGAAACTATGCTCAATATGGGTTATTGCACTACCTACAGAATCGTGTTTGGTGGTCTCAGCTTGTGGATTTTTATGTATAAAAGCATAGTATACAAGCTTTCCAAAATCGCTCAAGCTTGTACAACTGTGTTTATTGCTTTTGCACCATGCGTCAATTCTCGAGGCCTTATTTCATTCATGGGGAAGAATACGCAAAACCATAATACGTCCGGTTGGTTGGTTCCTCCATGCAAACCACACATGGGCTTCGATTGGAGGATAGCCCCCTTCGCCTTTCCATCTATGGTTTACATTTGAATTTTTTGCGGGTAAATTGTTTCCAATCGGGGGAATTTTTCGAATTTTACCTCTTTGTATCAACCTACGGCATAGTCAAGTTCTTTCCTGGCAGTTAAATTAGCGTTAAAAGTGTTATTTTGTAGAGAATTTGTATTGTCCGAATAAGAAAAAAATCAACCTCTGGCCCTTCTCTTGAATGTCGGATGTCCTGGTTCACTTGCTTTCATAAATTCATACTATCCAACAGGGCTGGATTTACCCACTTGCCGCCCATGGGCCGCCTGTATTTTTCCGCCCCCTTCTCATTCGCTTCGAAACATTAGTAAAAACTATCAAATGAACGTGCCAGAAGGGGAGGGGTGCATAAGACGCGTTTACTCGTGTTGAACACATTTTCTGGGAAAGCCCTGTCAACACTACTAGCAAAAGTTCACGGCTCTTCACACGAAAGTTAAGTTTCGTAAACCTATCTCTGTGTGAACAAGGCCTTCCACTCATAAGAAATGAACGAAAAAATTATGAAAGAACAAACATAAATGTGGATTAATGATTTTAACTTCCGCCGCCGCCCCGCGCAGACCGCACCGTGTTTGGCGCAATGCGTGAAGTTTTCACGCAGTCTTGTAGGCGCTATGCGTTTCACGCTGATCACACTGTGTTCGCCGCAATGCGTAAAGTATTCGTGCTGTCTTGTAGGCGCTAATATGTGTTACATGCCGATCGCCGCACCGAGGGTTTCTCCTTTTCATCTCAAGTCCTCGTCATCATTTCTCTCTAAGTCGCGCCGTTTCAGGCCAAATTGCGAGTTTGGTTTCTTTCTTAACTCGACTAATTAAAGGTGCTGTCTCTTGTATCACTGAAAGACGAAAAAATTAGAAATTACTTTACTCTCAGGAAATGAGCGATTTGGTCGCCCTTTCTCGTTTGTATTTTTTTTTCTAAATCCGATTTTTTTTTATACCTACATTTAAAAAAATTGCAAAATTTGCCGCCCCCTATAGATTTGCCGCCATGGGCCGCGGCCCGTGTGGCCACCCCCTTAATCCGGCCCTGCTATCCAACTCCACCTTAAGATCACTGTCTGGCCGAGCTCGTCGATAAGGTGAGGTGGTGAGGCGTAAATGATAGATTATCAATATTTTCCCCATGTGAAGCTACGGTAAAGAATCGCGATTAATGAGGTGTTCGTTGCAAACACCCTGCTTATCGATCCTTTTCCATAGGTTTACTTGACAGATCAATCGATAGATCGCAAAGCATGCCAAACCACTGCTAAGGTCGCTATAAACGATGTAAAATTAGTTGAACACTATATTTTCGTTCCAGACCTGATGGATCGACAAGTGAAAAAGCAAGGATTAATGGCTTTTCCGCGAGTTGGGAGGAGCGGCAACGCATTCAACGACCGAGTGGAAGGTGGCGCACTCTGGATTGGCCCCCGGTTAGGCAGAGACATCAGGCTCAACATCCCAAAAGACATCTCACCCTGGACTCTCATCACGCTGAGAGGTGAGTTTTGAAACATCACGAAAGACAAAAAATTCTGAGAAACTAGCTTTGTGTTCGGTGAATCTTGAGCACTTTAGGATTAGGAGCGAATCGGAAGTCGTTCGATCGGTTGATGATTCCATGGATCTTTCACATGGTTCCATGAACGTCACATCACACTGTTGTACGTCGAGTATTCATAGGTTCAAGATTTTACCGAGAAAATATTTGAGATGACTTCGAAGGTACATCCGGGAAGAATATCACAAATCATTGTGTCTATCAATTTGAGGTACAACTTGGGACGTTCACTGGAAAAAACCGACTTGACTTATGCAAAATTCTTAAAATTCCCTAAAAGGAAAAAAGCCTCTTGATTCAAGCAGAAAAGATGCTCATATCAAGAAAAATTTCGTTTATCAATCAAAAATCTGCTTGATCTAGGCGATTTAACTCTTGATAAAAGAGGAAATCTTCTTGAACACAAATTCAAGTCATTTTGTTTTTCCTGCACTACACCGATAAAAATATTTGTGTTCTTGTGTTACTTTTGGTCAATATAAGAAGTGAAACACAAATCAACCCAAATTTTGTGCTGATTTTGGTGCAATCTACGATGAATTTAGCGCATAAAACGATGAAGAGACTGGGAAACCCCATAGAGTCAACCGAAGACTTAGGTTATTTTGAGTTTTACTTCTCGTATTAACGAAACTTATGTGTTGAGTTTTCTCTTTGTGTATCGGGGCTATTTCAAATTATTTCTTATTCGAATCCTGTTTACAAAAATCCCTGACATGTTCCAGTGTAGATCTTGATGTGAAGTTCAGGATTGTTTAAAAAATGTCCTAAAATCCAAAAAATGACCTAATATCAGGCTATGCTTGCTTTTTGTCTATCAAGTATTTATCCATTTTCAAAAAGGTTACTCTAATGTTTAAACTGCCCTTAATTTTCAGAATTCGAAGCACCCCCCGAGAGCGAAACAAACGGCGCCCCGCACGAGACTCGGGAGGAGATCTTCGACTACGACCTCCAGGCGTCGCCCAAGCAACAGGACATCTCCAATAACATTAGCCACTGAAACTAAGTCATTGTTCATATCTTTATTTTTATCTTCTTGTTCCCCTTCATTTTTTAAAAAATAAAATTACCACCTAGTTATTCCATTCGTCATTTTTGCCTGAGCCATACCCTATCACTACAAAAAACTGAGGGTACGTAACCATTTTAACTCGCAAGAGCTGGTGTTGCCTGTCTTCGCAAATTGAAGGGGCTTAGACATTATTGAATCGAGTTGATCAGAAAACAGTCGCATATTTTCTGGAGAATTTTTACTTTGTGTATATATTGTTTATCTCTAGTGGTAAGTACTGTATACTGACAGGGCGACTAGAAAAATGCAAACCTTGATCGGAAAGTTTCAAAATTTCTGATTTGACCTGCTTTGATTGTAAGTTTTTGGCAGGCTGGTGTTTTGAATTTCCTATTGACCAATTTTGGAGTATTTTGATGTGTTCGACAAATTCTGCATGAAATTTTGATAAAAAAACATGTCTTTTTAGAAGTCTAACTCTTATCCTGTCATAAGGTCGGCTCATTAGCTCGGTTTCCATGACCAAAATGAGCCCGATCAAAATTGATCATCGATGCAACTGATGAGCGGTGCCAATCAAAATTAAGAGGCGCCACTATTTTTTGATCAACGTAAATTGAAAACAGAGTACCTATTGAATAAATTGACACCTCCTGGCCAAAGTATTACAAGCGTCGCTTGCGTCGCACTTGCAAGCACTTTCTGCACCCTTGCCGAGATGTACCTGGAGATTTACTTGATCAATACTTAGAGGTGCCTCTTAATTTTGATCGGTGAAACTCAACAGTCGCATCGATGACCATTTTGATAATGCGGACTTCACGTTCTGGATGACATTTGATTCAATGTTTCCCTCAATGGAGAAGAAAAGAATGTGATTGCATTCCGAGCAGCTTAGATTTCGTCGATGATAGTCAGTGGGTACGAACCATTTTGTCATCAATGTTCTCGAAAATGGTGTGGTTTGTGGAAAAAATGCATTTTGTATTAAATTACGTCAAAACAACGGAGGTCACTGTTCATTTACCTACAAACCTACTTCATATTACATCATACTTTGAATTCCGGATTATGCAGGAATATTGGCGCCATACCTACCTACGTCATCGTGTGCAAAAAAATCGGAACTTTCCATCATCTCATTTTGTTTCTATCTGTGCGGATGAAACTGATCTCGGTACGTCACGTTTTTAAAGTTGAGTTACACGATCAAATTGAGCCATCAAACTGAAGCTCTGATTGGTGGAAAAAGACCTGAGGTGAGGATGCGACCGATGAGAGGCCCAATTTGATGGCTCAATTTGATCGTGTAACCGAACCATTACGGGGCTCCAGCGAACGGAAGCTCTTCGACTGGCTGCGACGCCTCTTGACAAGCTTGCAAGATTGGGCGATGAAATGTGGATGTCTCGCCTGGTTCGATTGAGAAAGGTACTGATTTTTCAGCACGACCTGGCAACAATGCCGCTCGATCACTCCTCGCCGTCTACGACGGAGGACGAAAGCACGGACAAGCTGATTAACGCGATAGGCCACAAGGCCCGGAGAGTGGATAATTATAATTTACGGACCGGAGAAAATGGACGGCGGAGGTATTAGCGGAAGACGGTCGGGGTAATTAGTTGGACGAACGGCTGTCGAAAAAGTTTCCCATCGGTGGGACATCGGAGTCGCTGACAGACGCGGAAGGTGTCAGCCCCGAAAACTTCGGCCCCGAGCTCAAGGCTGGAACTTTTTCAACTCTTTCCGGCCCCGAAATCCACCCCGGCATCTCATCAGGATCCGCGGCTTCGGAGGCAAAACGCTGCTGTTCCCTGACTGAACGAAAGTGTTACCAAAGCGAGCAGCAAATGTAACACTCACGTTTAGAGCAAATCGTTGGCATTGTTGGATATTTTTTTCATGGAGATTCCTGTATACTGCCGTGCTAAGGAAGAACGCCGTATGAACATTCGAGAGTTGCCAAATTTCCTTCGATTAAACGTGTATTTTTGACGAAATTTATGCACATTTTTCTTTGAAATTTTCAGGTATTTTAGAGTAAATTGCGTACAAAATTGTCTGAAAATGTTGGAAATAAATATTCAAAATTTTCCCAGTAAATTCGGTTTTTATCGAATGAAACTTGGCAACGCCTGAAGGCTCATACGGCGTTCTTCCTTAGCACAGCAGTATAAAACTTTGCATTTAGGGTTTCCATAATGTCTTTATTTTCCAATGCCCTGACTCTTGAATTTCCGGATTCCCTGACTTTCGATCAGGAAACCTCCACTTACCTAGCTTTTTTTTCTTTTCAGTAAGCTGAATTTTGCATGATTTATGAGAAGGAGGGAACCAATTCCAAGAAATAACCCATTTTTGACGTTACGCATTTTATGAACGGCTTCCTAGTATTTTTTAGTTTGAGTAGAAAATGTTGTTGAATGCGTCATCCTCCTTCTTGTAAAATTTTTGATTCACATCCAAAATAGGTAGTTTTTCATCAAAAATAATAATATTAAACCTTTCACTATTACACTAGGTCCCACCCCCCCCCTTTCGAGTAACCAGGTTAGAATTGCAGGCAGCATGCAATTGGAGACTGTTAAAGTAATCTGACCAAGCCGGCTCTCTGTTGACTGCAAAGTCTTAACATTTTGAACGGAGGTTCCTGAGAGGCTCTTGCAGAAGTTGCAGGAAGAGAGAGAGGTTTTAATTAATTTTCACTTTAATCCTCCAAAAAAATACATTTCCTCTTTAAAAAAGGGGGGAAAAAGAAAAAACGAGTAAATGAATAAAGTTTTAAAACTGAATTTACACTGTACCTAGGGGCGTGCAAAAACAAAATCTCCCTGGTTGACCATGTATGGACATCTATTAGTACATGCACACACTCAAGGAACCATACAATAGAAAAAAGGCAAAACTTACTTGTTATTGCAGCAGTTTATCTCATAACTTGTGACTGTTTGAGAACCCTCCTGAAGACAGCTGTCTACGACATAGGTACCGACAAGAGTCAAATCATTACATTCACCTGCATGTGAGTGTTGGAGTAGGCATGGTGTATGGCTGTCAGAACTCACTATTTCCTCAAAGATACCTAAGTAAGTAAGTATCTCTCTAGATTCTGGATCAAAATTTGCACGATAAACTGGGTTTTCTCAGTAAAGGGGAAAGGAATAGGAGTAAAATCATCTTGTAACCACTTCAAGGATTCAGGATTGAAATTGAAAACCACTTGAGCTGAAATTGCACCATCATCGTGTGAGTCACCGACATTGTTCTGATTGTTATTACCAGCGTTGTTAATATCTCAATTCGCATTTACCGGTGGATTATTAACTACAATGGCATCGTCAATGATGTTACTGCCACTACGTCGAAATGTTGATCATTTGGATCAATGTCGGAACTTTCATCACGGTTCATTTCATTACCACTTGCTAGCAAAAAGTTCTCAAAATTTCACCATCATTTGCTTGCAGAACACGGCGAATATCGTTTGCATTGTCACTTCGCGACATTTCCGAAAAATTCGATCAAAAAACTCCCGAAATAGTTACCAAACGACGCGGACGTAAACACTTGAAACACTTCACTAACCTCTTTCGGGTCGCACTTTCACATAAGCATAAACAAATTGCAGCGCACTCTGTCGGAAACTCGTCTATGGTTCCAAATTGCAAAATGCAGTCCATTATTTGTTTCTCCTCGAAAAAATGAAATAGGAGCGGAAATTTTGAAACATCGAAAAATGGAAATACGTGGTTTCGCACTTTGGCCATCGATTTCTCTGTACATAATTATACTTTACCCCTGAGTGATAGTTTTCAGTAGCAGCGGAAGATACGAAGCGATCTGTCGAACACAGATGCAGCGGATAAACGATTTATTACTTCAGTTTACACAGGACGGCAAGGGGTTTTTTCTTTCCCCTGGAGAATAAAATTCAAAACGAAGTGTAAAAAACCACTATTTCTGGCCAGATATACAGTTTCCTGGAGTAAAAGTTATTTGATTCTATCCTCTAGCTCCACACGCCGCATCGTCTCTCGAAATAGTTGAAGTTTTATCAAAGAGGAACGGCAAGTTGTATTTGATTCAAATTATCCTTAAGCCAAAGCGGCCACCCACTAGAAAAGAAACCTAGGTGCCGAACATTATGGTATGGTATCATTGTTTCTAATCAGTCAGTGTCACAGAGAAATAGAGAAATGACGACTATAAAGTCATGGCCCGTAGTACGAAAATAAAGAGCGCCTTCAATTGGAAATGATACTGTGCAACACACGAAAGCTCGAATAGTTGTATCATTCCATCTTCATGTCTTTTCATTAGTGACGGCGACCACCCATCCACCCACGGGACGGAGAAAGAAATCGTGGTGTACACAGGCTTTAAGAGGGCAATTTCCGTAAAAAGTCGAAAATTAGGATTTGAATTTAGGACGAAACGCACTCAAATATTCCAAAAAATAAGTTTAAGACAGAATTTTAATCCTGCTAATTTTGAGGCCTGGGTATGACAGATATAACTTTGAATAGCTATTTCTGAAATCCACGTACTTTTTAATCTATAGATTCCAAACCGGTGGAACGCCAATTGATTTGGAATACGAGTATTTGTGCGTTTTTTGTCCCTTAATATATGAACTTCTAAATACTCCTCTTAACAGTAATACCAACATCTCAACTATGCAAAATTCCGAACTTTCAATCTGCTTAACAAAATTCGCTTTTCAAAAATTTTACTTTCATGACTCACGAAAGTAAAATTTTTGAGGGTACCTCATGGACCAAGAGGTCCCTTTGGATTTACCAAGATGCTTACATGAATAATCTGCTATGGCTCACAGGAAAAAGTAGGTAACAGAGCACTCAAAATGGGCTACTGTTATCACTTATTGGTGGCGTGTTATACATAAATATGCTTGAAAATATCTGTTATATGAGCTCTCCACAGGAATCCTGACTAGCAAAACTAGAATTATAAGTGTCATATAGTGTATAGTGCCCCACTGTATAGTACTCAACTTCCGAACGGGACAGGCATATCACTAAGAGAAGAGTTTGAGTGCCTTTAATGGGCGTGCTAAGATATTTTGTGTTCTGATAACTATTAGAAAATAAAAAAGTCGCCAAATTTCAGTAAATCTGAGCAATGACCTGGCCAGATTTTTTACNGGGGGGGGGGGGGGGACCAGGAGTCAAACGTTTCTCATAGGGAAGGAGGGTGTTCAAAGATAGAAAATTCGTAAAAATCGCGAAAAAATGACCACCAGGAAGAACATTTTTAGGTCATGAGGGAGGGGGTAAAAACAATCCCCCTGCCGATGCCACTGAATCTGAGTGTCGTGAATATTCTGTCTCTTCTTCTGAGTGGGTTAAAATAATGAAACCTAAGAATTCAAACTAAAAACGTATTGAACTTAAAATGTAGATTTTCAATACCTACCCTCTTGTTTATTGTCTATTTTCAATTCACTCTTGCTTATTATCTATACAAGGATAAGAAAGCAGGCATCAAACTATATTTTACTAATTTAAGCCTCATGAAAAATGAAGTTTCAAACCCCCTCTTATCAGGTTCTATTTGATTTTGTCACAGTCAAAGTATCACAAGCGCCATGCGACGTTTAAATATTTCTGTCGCCATTCTATTTTTTTACAGAGAAATCGTTGGTTGAATCTGTTTGAAAATTTCACTGAATTTTATCGGCAGCACAAAGAAAATACGGTGAAATTTATCGGACAGCTTTGTTGTCATAGTATTATCTAACGTTAACATATAAAATTAATGCAGTTTGTTAAGTTTTAGTTTTAAGCCACGTAGATAGATACAAGAAACACTTGTAGTAGTTACGATATATTTAAATAAAATTTCTTTAAAAAAAAAAAAAAAAAAAAGCTTTGTTGAACAATTTCTCTGTAAAAAAATTAAATGGCAGCAGAAATTTTTAAACATCACACGGCAATTGTGATACTTTGGCCAGAAGGTGACAATTTGGCGTTATGAACTCAATCGAAGTATAGTTCATATTGAACGAAATTTAGCAAACAACTTTGTGAGAAAACAGTCATAGGTTTTTGAAATGAAAAAATTGATAACTTTCAAAACATTGAACGTATAAAATTTATTCTTAAATATTCTGTAAAAAATGTTCCGTGCTTGAACCAACAATTGGACCATGTTTAGCAGAAAGGAACCAAGCCACATCAGCTATCGCCAAATTCAGCTGGGCAATTCAATTTTTTTTTACATAAGAATGTTCCTGTGGATTCTTATGAAAATTTTAGAGAATTCAGGCCATGTAGAAAAGTCACTGAAATTTGCACAAAAATTTGCAAAACCCTTTTCATGTAAAAAATGAAACTGCCCAATTAAATTATACAATAGCCGCTTTGGCTTGGTTCATTTCTGCTTGGTGCGATCCTGTTAAGGACTTCACAATATGACCACATTTTATTATAAAAGAAGCATCACAGATAAACACCTTAAGTAGATAAAGGTTCTCATTTTCAGTAATTTCCTTGAAGAGACAAATGGATATAATGATAGAAAAGGGAGAACACATTAGAAAGAAATTAAAACAAAGTTAGTTCATTAACAGAGGAAGGTAACTGTCACGTCATAAAAACAAGTCATAAAAATTAGTTCTGATAGGAATATCACATTTTGCTTATTTTCAAGTTGGCAAAAAGCCTATTAAACCTGAGTAGAATGGAAAAGTCAGCCATGTAATTGCAGATTACAGTTTCTCGGTCCTCTCTCTTGGAGTCAAAAATAGCTACTAGGGTGATGCGTGGGTCTATACTCATCATGAAAAATGTGTATCCTTCCTAGAAAATGCCAAAAAAAAAAAAACAGACAAAAGTATAAATAAATAAATTTTGCTTAAAATTGAAAAATGAAAGAGGCACAAAAAATGAAAGCTTAAAAAATTTGTTCTATTAGAGGTTGCGTGTTTATCACACAACACAAAAATGCTGCCTGAATACCTGATGACATTGATGTTACAGATGTGTTACTACAGAGTAAGTGACACACTTTTACAGGAACTTTTCATTATAATGTTTCTGAAACTGAGATCAAGGACTTTCATGAAAAATTTCATGAATTTCTGAGGACTTGTAATATTTTCACCTTAGAGGATTTATAGAATGCCTAAAAAATGAAATTGTCCTCTTCCTTCACGTCCATTCTCTTTTCTTTAGATGCAATGGTACATATCAAAAGCTAGCCGGGGGATAGTATATTTAAGTTTGCTGCATTATAATGACATATTAATTATAACGGCTTGCAATCTGGTCAGCCCAGTGGCGGAAATGTCATTTATTCAATGTACTTGAACATCGGTTACAGCGACAATCGGATAAAACGACCAAGTTTAGGTCCCCAGAAGGTCGTTGTATCCGATTTCCACTGTACACTAAAGAAGCAAAAAGAAGGAGGGATTATTTGCTTTTTGCAGAGAGGACTAACGGTCCCATCAACTCATAGCATATGCATATGCATATGCAAGATAAAACATTAAATTGCCACAGTAAAAAATTTAATTAATACTTAGAGAATCAACAACGAAGTAAAAAAAAATGTCTTACTTTTGAACTATAGCATGTCACCACTTTGTCAATACACGACAACTCTGAAGACTTTTCAGATAAAATTTTTTCAATGGTAGCCAATCGGTCATTCAACTTCTGAAAAATAGGAAATTATTTGTAAGGATATTATACAAAAAGGTTGACACCATTATTTTAAAGATAAAGCCATGTACATATTTTTCCTTTTAGCATTTTCACCCTTGAAATATGCACTGGATGTAACAAAAAGGAGCGACGATCATTTTCAGGAAAACTCTATCTGATGAAGCAAGTTTTAGGTAAACCACAAAGAAAAAAAATAGATAAATCATTAAGATGGATGTACAATTTTCTGATTTCTAGAAAAAAATATATAATATTTTGACTTTGTCCATCAAAAAAGGGTAGTGATTTTTTTTTCTTCTTCTTCTTTTTATGCTAAACTGAGGAATTTCAAGGAATTAAAAAACAAACTGAATAAATATTTTATTGCCATATATGTAGAAAAGAAACTTTCACTTACAGATGGATAGTGGACAATGACGATTAAACCATTGCGAGGCTCTGTTTCTTCGGAAGGAAATTTATAACCAGGACCATTCCAGTTTTTCAGGCCTCTGGGGTCAAATACTAGCATGACTGAAGTTGCATCAATCCTCTTTTGTAGGCTTTGAAACCTAAATTTAAAAAAAAGAGTTAATAGAAAAAGAAATGTAATAAACTGGAAGGGCAAGAATCAGAAAATAGAAGATAGATGCACCAATACAAATGAAATGGATAGCATTTAAAAAAGAACCAAAAGTATGAGCACAATTTTGAAAATAATTACAAGCACAGCGGAATCTACAGCAGCTACAACACTTCTGATCAAAGTCAAAAACGTTGGTTCCTTTTCAATAAAAATACACATAATGGAATCTGAGTAGAAGTTAAATGAAAAAAAAAAAAAAAAAATTGACGTTACTGACCCAGGAAAGTAAGGAAAACTGCAATACTTCAAACTTTTTTAAAATTCACTTTTTCAACACTTTACGGACCTCTACAAAAAATGATAAGTTGGCATTTCCTATAATTTTTCCTTCTTGAGGAGTGCATAATTCTTTAGAAATTCTAAATTGCCGTATAATAAGGTTTCTCAAAGAAAAAAAAGCTTGAACACTAGAAAAAATTCTAAATTATTTGAGTGAATTTAAACTTGAATCCTGTCAAATTGGTGTGCGCTTTCAAACTTGATCAATTCAAGTTGCAATTGATACAATTTATTAATGATGCTTCAAAAAAATTAAAACGCCTAAAAAATCACCTCAAATTAGAGAAAAGTTGAGACTAAAGTAAGAAAAACTAAATAAACATTACTTGTGGAAATAATCTATATTGTGTTTGCTGCAAATGGTCCGTAACTCTCCAAGCGATGTTTGTTGAGCCAGGACACGATAAAAATATAACGAATACTTGTTCACAGTGATAATTTTGAACTTGGTTAGCCATTGGAATAAGGCAGGCTGGCTGTTTCCTTTCAGAAATGATGCTCCAAAGGCTAGCTTCCAAGACTGAAAGAAAGTAAACGCAATTTTCATGAAAAACTAGGAAAGGATCCCATTCAACAGGTAAAAATTTCACATCATGCTGGTTCGGAATATCAAATACCAGTTGTTTTGGTTGAGACAAAACCAATTTTCTTACTTCGAAAAAATTAAACATTAGTGCAAGAAGTGGCAAGAATTTGTGACAGCTGTAATTCACTTTTCACTCTACATTGGTCTTATGAAGATTGGTCCGCACTTGTTTTATTTTGCAGAGAAAGGAGGCTCACTGCACCTCAGTTATACATCAGTAATCACACTTAAATTTGAGAAACTTAGTCAAACTTATAGGTAGCCTAATTTCGAAACACATACAAACCTCTCGGCTGTGAAAAGTTTTCTCCCAAGCAGCAAGATGCGTATGAGCGGTGTTGAGATGGCTTAAAGCAGGAACAAAGAGCCAATTTTGTAGCTCTTGCTGCGCCGCCAATAACTGTTTCAAGACCTCACATTCAAAGCTGAAGCAGACATAAAAACAATACCCTTACCTGAATTACAAAAATCCATATACTTTTCAATACAGCAACAGAGGATTTCAGAATTTTCCAAAATTTACTTAAATTTATTTTGAAGAGTGTATCTTCAAGTATACTCTGATACATATTGACATTTATGAAAAAATCAATGATCTCACGGCCAATCCAATGTTTTCAGTCAAAGAAATCCACACTTCTGCAATTGGGATATCTCAATAATGTTTTTGAGACTAGATTAACTGAAGTAATTAAATCCTTTTGAAGGATTTAACAGGAATATCTTGCAACCATGCATAGGAAGACTGTCGTACTGAGGAAGAATGCCGTATGAGCCTTTGAATGTTGCCTAAGTCCCTTTTCTAAAATATGAATTTCCAGAGAAATCTGAGAATATATTTCTTCTAATTTATCAGTAATTTTATTTGCGATCACATCTAAATTATCTGAAAATTTCGAGAGGCAATATTCTTATCTCTCCTCAGTATTGAAAGTTTTATCGGAGGAAATTCGGTAACTCTCGAATATTCATACGATATTATTGCTTAGCATAAAAAGGATCTCAAGTGTGTAAAAACTATGTTATGTATGTATGTAGTTATGTAAAGGAATGATATATGTTCAAACATATTTGCAAAAAAAAGTGTCCAAAAATTATAAACCAAACAAAAGAGTATACATATTTTTTTCTTTTGGTTTAAAAAAATAGCTTTGTGAAAAAAGTATATTTACCGGGTTGGAGCAAAAAACCACACAAGAAAAATTAAATGTGAAAATTTAAGAGAATTGTAGGAACTCGATTGTGAGCTCGCTAAACTGTCTTTTGTCTGATTCCTTCTGGACATGAACAATTTCAATGTTTTAGACGGAAGTGTTTTTTCTTGTTTCTCATAGGTTTATGGTTAGGTCTGTAGAGAGCCCTCTTCCCTTCTTTTCCCTCATGATAAGAGGCAAAAAATGCCTTAAGTTGCGTTTCAAATAATAAAAAATCAAATTTATTCAGAAAAAGCCACTCAGACTACCTCTACTAGGAGATTTTAACTCCCTCTCCAGGTTTCACATTTAGGGGGGTCTGCACAATAGACAGTGCCTGGAGGCCCAAAAATCCTTAATCTAGCATTGGATAGAACATTTACCAATGAAATTTTGATAAATTCTTGAAAGTTTCCTGTTCTAACAGAAAAAACAATGCTTACCTCCAAGAAGCTTTGATTGGTGACAGTAAAACATCTGAGAATGAATATGCATGTGCATCTGCAATCGCTGCTACCTGCGCTGAAAGCTCATCAAATTTAATATGCTTGTTACTGGTGCTAACAGAATACATTCGTTCATATCTGAAGTAGACAGTTAAGTAGAGTACTTGGAAAATGAACTCAACTCTTGTGAGGAAATTAGAGTCAAGATAACTATTCTGAGGATAAATTCTTCCAGCGTTTTCTTGTAAACTAATGCCATTTCCCAATTCTACATCACTAGAGGGGGCTGAGAATAAAGATATCGACGACCTGAGCTTGTACTTCTAGCCAATAAGAGGGTAGAAAAATGCAACCATGATTCCATTTTCAGCTCGCAATTGCGACATGTGATAACGTGTGTTATAGCCACCTGTGATAACAACATCCTAATACGCGTGATAATTAAGACTTTACATCTATGTCCTCTTAAAGAACGTGCTTATGATACTTTGAAGGAAAGATTAGCTTGTAATCATTTAGTACAATATGTTTTCCAATCAGAATGCAACTACTTGAAATTATTTGAAGATGGAGCCACAAAAACAGGACTTGATCAGAATAGTCTACTCGGTTGGTAAAATTTTGCAAATTCAAAATTTTGATGGTCAAACTAAAAAAAATTGCATTCCCATTTTGCAACAATCCTAACTTTTTACCACAGTTTCTTAATGCAGGATAACCACCTAAATTTAATTCATGAAATTTGTCATTGCCATGACAGGAATCGTTGAATCTCTTGTAAAATGTAAAGTGAGAGTAGAAATTTTGATGAGACATCGTAGTGGGGATTAGCAATTCTACGTTCACTATCTATGTATTCCCTCATGTTAATAGTGCAACTTGGGAAATACATAATTTGATGGCGTCATTTCAAAAATTCTGCACTAAAAAGTTGGTTTTTTTTCTCTCTTTTTCTGTGCAAGTTTAATTTTTTGTTTCATTGAGAAAGCACGAACCAACCACATTCTTTAAAATTCTCACAGAAAATTTGATACACAAAAGTAAAACAAATAATTTAAAAAGATAATTATCCATTTAAAAAATGAAGTGGGAGATGCAGTTTGCAACTTTGTAACTGAAATAAGTGTTTTCATAAGTACACCCTTGATGAATGTTCCTTCAAATGAGATGTTACCTACTTGTAGCAGTAAGAAGGAGGAAGAGGATATGCTTTATTAAATCCTGCAGCTCTGAATAAGGAGGCTATGTCCTCTCTAGTGCCACCTGATTTTTCAATTTTGCAAACTTCCATCTTAATTGTAAGCCTCATATTCTTTCCCTTTTACATTCCACATTGGTTGAACACTTTAATGCAGAGACGTATGGAAAGGATACAACTCAACTAGTTGGACGCGGGCAGTAAGATATTGACAGAGCTGATTTGAAATGACACCAATAACAGACTCTGATGCATTCCCTTCTTCTAAGCGATGGAGATCTGTCCGCAGTGATTCATACACAGATCTCAGAGAATTCTGAAATCAAGGTGACACTTCAATTAATGGTTAAAACTTGGGAAAGGAGGACAAAGAAGGAAATCAAAGATGAGTATCTCTAAGAATAAAATCACTAAAATTACAAAATTAACGACTGCTCCCAAGAAAAATAACCTTGATGCATGGAGGTAAATTTTGTAGGAGACAGATATTTGTGGAAGTGAGTTGAGCATAAACAAAAAATTTAGTAATTCAGTCTATTTTCATGCTAACAGAAAGCATAAAATAGCATTGCTTTTCACATTAATGTTATTCATTTAACATTTATTTGTAGTTAAATCTTTCCTTGAAAGCCCTGCCAGAGATAGATTTATTTCTTTTAATTCAAACAATTAAATCTGCAGGATTTTGTGAATTTTGATGACCTCTTATAGAATATCGTTCTTCTTTGATTGGATAAACAGATGCCAGATGGTCAATGGTTTTACATTATTGATGATAATGGATCTTATGCTCGGTAGGACTCAAGTTTGGTGATGAGTAACTAGGTATTTGATCACAATTTAAGAAAAGAAGATCATCAAAATTAAAACGTAAAACTTACATCCTTCCTTAAAAAAATCTTATTCTTAGCTGAGAGAAATCCAAGTTCAAAGTAAGACTTTTCAGCAACAATGAAATTTCCAAGGATAACGCTGAATTGTTTCATAGAGTTGGACCGATTTAATTCTCTCTCCTTTTCCTGTAAAAAAATGACAATAATGAATCTGAATCTACACAAAGGTTAAGAGATAAGTAGCAGCTAGAGAGAGATCTGACTAGATTTGCCAAGGAATAAAAAAATGGGAGCCAAAACCTTCAGAATCCCTACAGATTGAATTGCTTTGTTTTTTTTTCCATCTTCATGATTCTCTCACAATACCAAATCACAAAGCAATACTACAATTTTTGGCAGGAAAATGGTGAATTAGAGTATTTCAGTTTCCCCCATGAACAACATTTTCCAGCTGGAAAACATATGCATTAACAGACATTTAGTTCATTTTTTTGGCTCAGATCCTCAGGAAATTGTCCTGAGACTAGTCTTTTAATTTCCTTACCAATCCTTTCTCCTTCGATTAAAAATAGCATTGTACCTACTTAACTCCTCTTGCTCCAAATTAACTGGAAACTGCCATGATGAAAAACTGCCATCACCTGATAATTTTCACTAGGAATTGGACCGTGTTCAGCAGAACAGAACCAAGCCATATCAACTATTGAAAAATTTAACTTTGCAATTGAATTTTGAATAAAAGAACATTTGTGCAGATGTTTTTGAAAATTTTAGGGAACTTGCTTCGTACTAAGCAAAGAATTCACTGAGATTTCCACAAAAATCCACGCAACCGTTTTTATGTAAAAAATTAAATTGCCAAATACTGATGTGGCTTGGTTCCTTTCTGCTTAATGTGGTCTAATTGAGCTTAAAAATTATTCACAAGCTAATGAATGATAATTACACTGAGTCACTGGAGTTACGCTATGTGTTGCCTTTCATTCCTTTTTTAAAATTTATTTTTTACAAGGGGGAGGAGTTAACATTGAAAATTCATGTCTGGACACGCCTCTTTTAGGATACTTAATATCGTGAATAATTGTTCAATATCAGCAGGCCGATTTTTGAAGTTTTGTATTTGTCCGGCAGACATAGGTTAAACGGCAGAGCGTGATTGGTCGGCTATGTCTTATCACTGCTATGTTGTGCCTGTGTCAGGTGAAATTCACGACAAGTGAAGGTACCTCTTGAGTTTCTAACAATATGTCGTTCATTCCTCCTGACAAATGCACCACAAAGCAGAGATCAAACATAGGCGATCAAACACGCTCCGCTCCCAAGTAGCATGGATTGCAATTTCATTGCAATGGATTGTGAGTTGATTGCAATTTTTGCTTGTTGCCTATACGTTCATTTGAAGGCGCTTAAAAAGTTGCAATTTTATTGCAATAAGTTTGCAAGAAATGTAGATTATGCTTGTTGCCTAACCTTCTTTTTCAAGGCACTATAAAGACTGCAATTTCGGTGCAATCATGTTGTAACAAATTCACGCCATGTGCCTGGCATCCAATTCTCTAGTTGTTTTAAAGTTTTTTCGACTTAAATGTCTCACCTAACCCATATAGCCCAACATATTTTGAAAATATTGTCACCTTTATCAAAATATTTTCATGGCAATATTGTAATTAAGATATTTTCAAAATGTTTTTAAAACATTTTAAAGGAATATTTTGAAAATGTTTACAAAAAATATTTTTAAAATAATTCAAAAATATTGCCTGTAAACATGCATATTAAAAATATTCCTTATGAAAGTTTTGAAAATATTTTAAAAATATTTTTTGAAAATATTTTTAAGTTCTCAAGTTAGTATGTGGTGTAATTTACACCGGTGTAAATTTAGTGTGAGTACCTATTACGTGATATCGAAAAAAAAATCAGACAAAAAAAATATGAAAAAAATAAATAACACGAAAAAAAATAAATAATAGGCAAAAGAAAGAAGCCTGAGAAAAACGGCGTTAATCAAATCTATGATGAATGTTGAGTCACGCACTGACGCAATGCATGCGATAACAGCCTTAACAGGCGTGATTTCAACCCTGCTCATCATCAGCTCCCTGTAGCTCAGTGGAAGAGTGCTCCGCTATGACATTCGCGGGTCGGGTTCATGCCCACTCAAGGGCGTCCGGTATTTTATGCTGCTAAACGTCGTAGGACATTAGGTAAGCATGGGTTCGAATTATTATAATTTCCCCGGAAAATTTAGGGGTTGAAAATTAAAGGTCGTCAATATTGAAATTTCTTTGCAAAAAAAAATTGCAACTTTTTTACAATGAGGGGGTCAGATGTTGTAAAATAATTGCAATTTTCTTGCAAGAAAGTTGAAATCATCTGGAAATTTTATTTCATTTAAATTGCAATTTTTTCGTTGCAAAATGCTACTTGGGCTGTTGAACAAGTGTCCACCCTAATACAAATTTGCAATAATCAGCCTGGAGGCCACCTCCAAGACTGGAGAGTGAGAATGCACAGTGGACGAGGAGAGGTGTTGAATTAAAGTAGGGTATATACAGTAGGATGAGTCTTATTTTTGGGTTTTTCAAAATCCGAAAAGCGCTACCTCTAAACAGTTTCTCTCTGGTGTAAAAATAAACATGCTTTTTGAAAAAATCCAAAATTTTAATTTTAACCCACCTCTCATGGGGCAAAGGGGCCTGGATGCAAAGTTTGAATTTACGCATTTTTAAGGTATCATTCTGAGGTAGACTTTAAAAGTTACCGCCTTCGAACGAAAATTTCGTCCGTTTAGCCGTATCGTGCATTTTAAAGGCAAAAATAGCCTCTGAAACATAATTGCTTCGCCCCCCGCGCAGTGCCGGCCGCGCGCTTGCATGCAGCGCACACACCTTACTTACCTGACGCCACGATGCGACGCGACGTCGGTCCACGGAAACCCATAGTGGACTTATTGTTCCTTTAATACCTAAGTAAAACGACCTATAAGGAAAGTGAGACACATCAGAATCCATTCCTTTTTTAGTTATCGATCGGCTTCATGTTTGCATGTGTCGAACTGCCCTTCCAGAGAAATTGTTGACCACACGCAAACTTTTTACAATTTCCCTTGCCTTCAAGTAGTCAGGTTAATTTTCCCACTCCAAAGGTAAAAAGAAAAGGAAACCGTCTGGAATTTGTAAAATACTGAAGAGCGTATTTGTATTCGTTGCCAAGAGATCTGGTAGGCTGGGATACTCCTTAGCATAAATTGGTATAGGTAGTCAATTATAGGAGGGTCAGGAAGACCATGATTTTTCATCAAATTGAGGATGCAAGTCTCTCTTTCCTCTGTGAAAAGCCACAAGTGTGTGCGCTGCATGCGAGCGCACGGCCTGCACTGCACGTGCAGAGCAGCAAATATGTTTCAGAGGCTATTATGCCTTTAAAATGCACTATGCATCAAAACGGACAAAATTTTCGTTCAAAGGGCCATAACTTACAAAATCTACCTTAGAATGACATCTTAAAAATGCATAAATTCAAGCTTTGCACTTAGGCCCTTTATGCCCTGCGAGAGGTGAGTTAAAATTAAAATTGTGGATTTTCTCAAAAAGTATGTTTATATTTACACAAGAGATAAACATTATAGAGGTAGCGGTTTTCGGATTTCAAAAAACCCAAAAATAAGACACACCCTAATGTGCTGCCTCTCTATGATTGGATAGGATCTACAGCAAACAAATTTACATTTCAAGAAAGAGACGGAAAATCAACCGTAAGTATGCGTTTGTAAATTTTCTTCCAATGCTCAAATAAAGATGGCAGATCCTCTGTCACACTATAACTGTGTGTAGACCTCCTTGGAGCCGTTTCAAGTGAAGCATAATGAGTCAACCACAGAGAAAGAGCGACCACTGAACACGCTAAGAAGGTAATTGCATTCCTATTTCTTCAAGAATCATTCGTAGAATTTGTAGGATAAAATGGTATGTTCTGATAAGGAATCAAAGATAATGGTTACCAAAAGCTCTCTAGCTCTCTCAAAGCTGAGTTGAGCAGTGTACGAGAAGAAAGTGGCGATGAATTCAGCGAAGAAATCCATTTCGGCAGCTGCAAAGTTGAGCTCTGAACCATGCTTTTGAAAAATTAGCTAGAGGATTTTACATTGATTGATTTAAAATGTCATATCTTGTTACCTCACTAATACATCAAAACGCATCGTAAGTGCAAATGCAATGTCACAGAATGGAAAAACGCTATCTATGATGGAAAGTGAACTCCTGACTGAACTAAACAAGTTCTTCGTTTTTGAACTACTTTAAAACTTTGACACTTAGGCAAATATTGGAGGAACACTACAAAGAATCAATCTCACTCTCCTGAAGCTATATTTCTTTGATTACACTTTCATTTCCTTTGATTTAATGACACATTATTGGGACGATTTCATTTTTTCTTATCATAAACAAAAAGACGTAAACAGCAAACCTAACCTAACCAAAACTCGGGTGTACTGTTTCTACGTCACAACTAAAAATGAAGCCGCCCTTCTGATTGGTCAATAGAATCGCGGGAAAACCGAGACCTCTTTGAAATTTAAAAAGGAGCGGAAAAGGTAGTGACTTAGTGAGGATCCCACTTACTTTGGCTCTAAAAACTCGTAACTATGACTTTTTATGTTTCAATATGTTTTTCTATCAATGTTCGACTGTAACTGAAAATTGATTATAAGTTAAAAATATTTATTTCATATAATAACTCTTATCTCGACTCATCCCGTTTTGAAGGTATAACCATGTTAAATTACGTTCTGTCCGACAAAAAAGCAGAAATTGGAGAGTCATGGTAACTAATTTTCAAATATATCACTTTCAATGTTAGATTGAATGGTGATGTAGATCCTTACAGGTTCCATCATGAACTGCATGAAATGTACTTTTTTTAACGGCACGCCAGTCCGAGCACTTTTCTACGTCACAGCAAATATTTAGCAAAAATCCAAACAGCTTTTGTGAGAAAATTAACTGCACAGTACTTAGACCCTAAAACAAAAAGCTGAATTTGTTTTTTTAAAAAAAGAAAAAAGAACTAGGTAATCTAAAATATAAGTGTGACTCTACTGCATACTTTAAAGCATAGTTTTTAGTGCTTCAAACATCACTAAGTATTATCATAGCCTTAAATCCCAACTAGCATAAGACTCCATCGGATTTTATTTCACCATACAGTTAAGATTTTGGCGTTTTCAAATGCAAATCAATTTTTCTTACAGACAGAAAAAGAAAAAGATAGAAGAGAAAAGAAAGAGATAGAAGAAAAAATACACGGTTTAAAAATTTAAAGACGATTTTATTCTCAGAGATACGATGTAACTACAAGATTTAACTAGTGACTTAATCATGTAACACAAGTAGATTCGGTAATATTTCAAATTTGAAGGCGTAAAGTATTGAAAATTGAAAAATTTTGCAGTAGCCATCAAGGTTAACTAAAAATTATTTTTCAAAACTCAAGTCTCAACACACAAAAGACTTTTACTATCATTATTAATTTATCGTATCAAGAAACTCAGTGCGTCACGACAATGTAATATAAATATATCGATAATTTTGCAAAACTGAGGAGGTTCTAGGTTTTTTTTTTTTAAGGATAGGTTCTTTACCTAACTTTCTTTTCTTTAAAATGCAGTAACGAAAACTGACTTTCATCATTGATTCCAACATATTACCTTAAAACAAGCTGAATGATGGACTGCACTTACATACTGAGCACAAAAAAGAAGCAATTTCAGCAATGAACAGGTCAAGGTTTCATTTTTAAAACATTTTTTGTTTGAAAGCAATATGAGAATGGAGAAGTTTGTCAATAATCAAAATCACTGCCTATAAACATGGTTAGTGCTGCATATGTACATAATTACAGATTTCCACTTTTTAAAACTTTTTTACAGCAGGAGAAGATAACATTTCTACAAAAATTAATGAGTATTGACAAAATAAGTATAACAATTCTCAATGACTCTGAACTGAATCAAATTCAGTTTTTTTTTACTCTTGATCAGAAAAGTTTTCATCTAACATTGGATCTTGATTCAAAATTTCTCTCAACTCAAGAGAAAAGACATGAGTAAAGAGTTTTCAAAAAACGAAACAAGAATATCTCTTGCAGGGCAAACTGCAAAGTTGTGCAATATTTGGGTAAAGATGACATTTTTGCCCTTAGAATTGTCACCCAGGTATCTATTGACAATCGAGAAAAAATTCTCAAAGTTATAAAAACAAATACAAATCTACTGGTAAGCATTTAAAAGAAGGAAACGTTTTTCTAACGTTCACAATGGGCCTGTTGCAAACTTTTGCTAGAGCAAAAATAAGAGTTGTTACTCATAGAAAATGGTTCAAAAATCATGATGAGCACATCGGCAAAGTCTGAAGTGCACTCCTTACTTCACAATTTGTAGGAGAAATTTGCGTTTTTTCAAGCTTCCCGCTTGAAAAACTATACAACGGCACAGGTGAACAATCATGAGAGAGGTTATTCCATCCAACCCCTGCTCACGAGGATAATACGCAATATTTAACGAAGCCGACGCTAATTCTCCAAAACACATGTGACAGGACGATTATTCTAACTTCTAACCACCTGATAGCAATCTGCATGTTTACATGCACATTTTTCTCGCGTTGGGAGATATCCGCCTTGATTGACCTCGTGCTCTCCTAAACTTGCGCACGGAAGCGTCGACCATGTTGAGCAGGGATTGAATGGAACAACTCTTTTGACAAAATGTTCACCTATGCCTTAGTATCCATTTTAAAGCGGGAGGCTTAAAAAAACACGAATTTCTTTTGCAGATTGTGAAGTTAGGAGTGCATTTCAGATTTTGCGGATATGCTCATTGTGCTTTTTGAGGCATCATCTATAAGGATCAACTCTTACTTTTGCTCTAGCAAAAGTTTGCAACAGGCCCATTGGTTTCGAAATTGATTTCCAAGTTTCCTGTTTTACATTACTAAATCATAATTTTCTGCGATCTGCATTTCTACTACAATGCAAACTTTGAACATCATCAAGTGAAACTCCGCAAGAGGGAAAAGTTTGGATCTTTTTTAATAAATTCCTTCACTTTTCGGCGATGAATTTTTGACATTTTCATACTAAGGTTCCTGTAAGTCCTGTAAATGCTCTCCTCATGAATGTTGAACTGCATTTATCTTGTGTTTTCGCAAAAACTTTCACTGTCTATTTGGGCACCTTGAAAAGATGATATTGAATCAGAAATACAAATTTTCTGTTTTAAATTGATTGGAATAAAATTATTCCTATAGGAATTTCATTCTTTTGAAAGCAATAATAATGAAAGAAAAGAATTCTTTTCAATTGTGATTCCAATAATTAAGGGAATTGAAAATCAGAAAACAAGATTTTTCAATTTGACAAAAAAATAGTTCTCAAATTAATTTTACCTAAAGAAAGCCACTCATCAGTCTTTTCTACAATTGAGAATGAAGAAAGGACGACTGGTGGGTGACCTCATTGCTTCATAATTAGAATAATGGAAAAATTTACGAAAATTGAAATTTTTTAGTTTCATGTTGGAATTGTTTCCGATGTAGAATTAAATCCCCCAAATCAAAATGCCTTTAACAATGTCAAAATGCTACTGATTAGCTCTAACCCCCTTAAAGAGATGCAATAATGATAGCAGGTACGCAACGAGTCAACTGCAATTGACTGAATTTTTAAAGATGACAAACATTTGGGTGAATCAAACAAAAACCTTCTGAGATGAAAATTCACTTAAAAGTATTTACAATTTGTACACTCAAATTCTGAGAGTCAATAAGTGTTTTGTTTAAGGCTTCAAGGCCTTATATCACATATGTCAAGTTTAAAATGATAACCGTTTGTTCCTTTTAGACCTTTTCACAAATGGGTTGACCGGGCTTGGGAAAGGCGATGCTTTCAAAACTCCTTGAACAGGTTTCTTTTCAGCACTGAATGGGATTCCTGGATTCATCTTCAATGATCGCCTGTACTCTTTCGGATCTGAAACAACAATCAGAGCATTTCAGAAATGACTTGATAAAAGAAACATCTTCTGTGACTTCCAAAAGCTCTCGACGAGGTGGTCAGTACTTCAAGGCAACAAGAAATACACCAAGGGCCAAGGGGGGTTGAAATGAGAGTATAATATTGAGTGCATAGAATACCTCTTGGTGCAAAGGAAATTAAAAACACATTGTTTCAACAGGTAGACCAATTTTCATTTAAAAAGTAGCGCCGTAGAGGCTCAAAATTTTCTTGCAAAAAAGCGGCGCGCTCAGCTGATTCCTTCACTAAAATCAACTTGCTAGTCGTTCTCCTTCATTAGAATCAATGCAGCTTCCTGCTTCAAAAGGACTGAAAAGAATATTCTAAAAATTAACAGAAAAAAAAATCTTGACAGCTTCTCTTGAAAAATTTCTTGTCCTCAACTGCTTCAACAAAAAAAGCGCAAAAGTATGCTCCAGCAGGTTTTGGACCCCTGGTACGCTCTCTCGAATGACACTGGCTGAACTTGTTGCTCTGACAGGCTTCTCAAAAAATTGCCTGATTTTTCCCATGAATTCCTTGACTTTTCCTGGTCACCCTGTAAATACCCCGATTTTCCAAGTTTACCAGACTGCCGCCACTGCCAGAAACCATGCGCATGTCAGTATGTAGTTTTTATCATTTGCTAAAAAAGAAAAGCATACATTCCTTTCGGGACAACCTATGCATCAATGAGCCTTTTTATTACTTTACTGAGTAATAAATCAGAAACCAGGCATATTAGAAATTTTTTCAGACAGAAGAGTCCTCGCCCCTCAATTTTTTAAATTGAAATGTTCTCAAACCTTTGGGAATCACAAAATTATGATAGACAATAAAAAATAAGATTTTCACTGACCTTGTGAGCAGTTTTTGGCAAGAACAAACTCTACTCTTCTCTTTTCACTCTTGGGTGTTTCGTTCTGAAGCTTCGTCAAAGTGGAGTTCACAGGAGTTTTGGCATCTTTCCCTGCCACAGAGGGGGGAGATTTTTTGTTAGGTGTACCTTTCAGACCTTTCTTCAGTTTCTTTATTTCTTTGGGAGTTAAATTTTCCACAGAGACTTGTGGAAATTCCTTAGGCAGTTCTGGAGAAACTTTTTTGGAAGATCCAGATGGTGAGACTGGAGGAGGACTTGTGCTGGATCTGAGGGCGTTTTTGGGTGAAGTTTTACCTTTCTTGGCCTTCTTTTTCTTCGAACTCCCTTCTGAGTCCCTGGATGTATTGCTTACAGGAGTGCAAGCTGCAATCTGAAATGAAAGAGACAATGCGCAAAATTGTGAAAAATAATAAAGATTTAACAAAAGGATGCATGGAGAAAATATTAAAAATAAGAGCTTCAATAGCAACACAAGTTAATGAAATGAGGTTTCTTCTAGGAGTCAAGAGATACAGACAAAAGAAAAATACAGAGAAAAAGAACAAAAGATATCGCTGAGTCTTCAGTACTTCCTAAATTAGAAATTTCTTCTTTTCCTAAATTTTTGCTATGCTTGTGCAAAAATCAGGCGCTAAAATCCTTCAGACACTTAACAAGTTAAAATATTTATGACAGTCATTCCTAGGAAGCCGAAAGTTTCTGCATTTTCAACATTCCTTTAACAATTATGTTGCTGAAAAAATTACCAAGTCTTTAAAAAGTCGTTCCATTTTCCCCTCTTCCTGGGTCAAAGAACTTCGCCAATCAAAACTATCCGAATAGTATTCCTTAAATATGATCAAGTTAAATTTTATGTCCTTTATAAGGCATTGAGTAAATTTATTAAATCTTAAACTATTGATTTGAAACGCAGTGTTTCAGTTACAACTTCACAAGAAACCACTGAAATATTATGAGCAAGTACAGTATTACAAGACGTTCACTGAAATGTGTCATGAGCATTGAGATTATTATATAAAACCAAGAGAAAAAATACAGGGTGCAGAAAGTTCTGAAACATTGACTGTTTGCTGAAATCCAATGTTTCTGCCTCACAGCCGAACGTCCTACTTGATGAAACATTGTCTGATTTCACAGTAAAATGTGTGATTCGTCCCTTTTAAAAAAAAATAATCAACAAAAAAAAAGGAGAAGCGATCATTTTTCAAAATTGCCTCTCGTTTGTTGCCAAATTTTCTCCACTTCTGTCAAAGTAACCTTTGAACTGAGTTCACAAAAATGCAAAGATGAACCGTTTGTCTCACAAGCTTAATTATTATGATTACCTGTTTTCCGATTTTCTTTTTGCTTTTTCCCGGAGAGTCCGTTGCATCTTCATTTTCCTCTTCCATTGGAAACTCTTCGGGGTCTTCGCTTTTATCATTTTGGTCAACTTTCCGTTTTTTTCTCAAACTGGTTGCTATTGCATCATGCGCATTGATGACTTGCTGCTTTTTCAATATCGCTGGATCTTTCTCCATACCATTTTCCTCAACTTTCGGAGTTACAGTCCAAACGCCACTCGTGTTTTTAACCTTGTATAAGAGATACATAGGGACATTTTTAATTCTAATTGAAACCAAGACCTCCTAAAGGAATAATCTCTACAATAGCTGCCATTGTTTTTGGGGAGACATTGGCCGGAGTTAAGCAGAAAGGAACCAACCCACATTTTGGAAAAAATTTAGTTATGAGTGGTTTTAAACTCAACCACTGCTCTACTATCTATCGCCGAAAATTCAAAGTTTTTGTTGGAGCAAATTTTGCAGAAATTGAACTTGAAGTTCATCTTTTACATTGAGTCTTATGCAGGAGCTAAACTTTAAACCTCTTTTTCTCGGTTTGATCCCGATGTGGCTTGGTTCCTTTCTGTTTAACTCCGTCCCATTATAATTTGAATGAGTAGATTTTCTCCAGTCAACTTTATTAATTGAAGAATTTTTCTTCTTTCAGGGTTGCCATAATTTTTTCATCTTTAAATTCCCTGACTTTTCCTGATCTTTGGACAGAGTTTTCACCAATTTTCTTTTTCTTCTTTCTTTTTTAGATACTGTGACTTCAGCTAAACTTTTAACAAAAGGGGATTATTCAAAATCACTTGTTTCATAAATGGTAAGTTTGAATTTATGCATTGAAAAATGTTCATGCGTTAATTCGGAGTTACTTAAAAAAAATTTTGTTGCACAAATCAGGTTCGGCATGAAATTTTGATGGGAAGAAATACATCATGATGCTTAAACTCTACTTTGTCAAGTGGCCCATTGTTTCAATTCAACACCGAAACAACAAAATTCATTTCTCCAGAAGATGATTTTACGATCATGAGTTTCTTTTTAAAAAGTTGAATAGGAAAAGCATGACCAGAAAATATTGACAGTTATTGAAGTATAAAAAACTGGTAAGCAGTAATAAATACAGTTTCATCAGTAGTGACTCTGCTTGTCAGATGATACTTAGAAGAACTATCAAGAACAATGACAATGAGAAAAAATGATTTTGAAAGTTCATACCTGATTTTGCCCAAAGAGATAGATAGAGTCGTTATACTCATGCTTCTCAACCCAATCTCTCTTCCGTTTACCACTACCAGCTAATAAGATGTCATCAGATGGCACTGGTTTATGCTTCATTGCATAGAAAGCGTTTACTGCATCACTGTCTTTTAGATTACGGATCTGTCTTAACCTTTCCGTGGCTTTATTGACCTCATCCTGAACATGGATTGGTTTTCTGGAGTCTATTGCCCGAATTTGGTTTGTAACTAGAGGGTAGCGGCCTTTAACAAGTCTTTGGAACCTGCAAAAGGAAAAAAAAATGAGAATTCACTACCAGAGTTGAAGTAAGTAAAGTAAATTTTCTTCTAGATTTTCCCATTTCTGTAGAACCACAAGAAAAATTTTAATCACAGTGATCACAAATCAACTACTCGCGATAATTGATGGATTCTCATTCCTTTCATTAATTTAATCATTTTGCATGTTTCCATTATTTCATTGTTAATAGTTTCTTTTATCATTGGGAAAGTTCCCTTTGAAGAGTTTAAACAATGTCTGTATTTACAGAAAAAGTGACCTCAGTTTCCGGAGGTAAATATTTCAGTGTACCGTACCAATTGGAATCAATTTTTGAAGAATAATATGTATTGAAAAACCGATATTTGATTCTTCTAGAGAAAATGCGCTTCAGCATCCAAAAAAATAAGGTGCAAACAGTTTCTGTCATTTTCGGGCTACTGGAGGACGTAAAGTTGTGGTATAATCCAACAATTTTAAACCCACAAAAAGCTGCCAAAACTCAAATCAACATTTTCTGAAACTACATTCTTCTTTCAACTGCAAGCTTTGTCTCCTGACTCTGATACTGTTGCCTAACATTAGCACAGGTACTTTCTTGTAAAACTCCTCATACAGTGGTGCTGATTTTTTTTTTTTTTTTTTTTTTTGAGTAAGGCTCATTTTTTAGTGACTATTCACCAATAAATGAAAAGCATAAAGTTACAATTCATTGAGAGGAAGCTCTTCCCTGCATGCCCAGCTGTCACACTACTTAGCCCTTCCATCAGCAAGAAGGTTACACCTGCATACAGCAAAATCGTACCCTTCTACAGCATTTCCACCATTTCTTAATAACCTTCACTCAATAGTACTCACATTTGTAGCTCTACCTGTCAAAAAAAATCTGGCCCACAACTTTGGCTTTTTCCAAAAGAATGCACTCCAATTGGTTTGCAATTCTACGACCGATTTCAGTTGTGAGTCAAACGCAAGCAAAATCTAGGCAATTTCAGTGCGAATGCTGTGCCTCGCAATGAACATTGGCAAAAAGAAGAGAATTAAAATGGGTTACCTCAGAATGTCAAAATTAATTTTGTTGAAAACTTACAATTGGATGATTGCTTGGACACGCCCTTTCCCTCTCTTTGTCGTCTCTTCAAGTTCTTTAACCCTGCTGAGCATTTCGACCATCAACTGAGGATTGAAATCAATGGTCGGAATCACAACATCACCTCCCGCTCGGAGGTCCTGGAACTGCGACAGCACTTCCTCGTCTCCTTCATCAATTTCAGAGTCACTCTTGCCACCTAGTAAGTCAGCATCTGAATCTTCTTCCTCATCATCTCCTTGCTTAACTCTTTTGATTTTATTGAATTTGTTCGGTGGAAAGCCCATCTAACCAAGGAAAGAGTATACATTAAGCATAGAAGCATAAAAAGCAAGGGTAGCTCTTACAGTTTCCACAAAATATCTGTGACTTAAAGCCGGAGGTTCAATGTCAAACATTCATGTTTCTGAGATACTGAGAGTAAATTTTCTCCTCCTTCATTCTGACTGGCTAGGAAAAAATGCCGTAGAAACATTCAAATGTTGGCAAGATACCTTCTATAAAATATTTATTTTTAATAAGAGTGGAGAATACATTTCCTTGAAATTTTCATGTACAGTAAGACCTCGATTTATCAGATTTCACAGGACCGGAGGCCGAACCCGTTGAATTGCTGAATCCGCTAAATCGCGCTAGTCGGTCCCCCTGAAGGGACCGGAGGATCCATCCGTTAAATCGCGATCCGATAATTTGAGGTCTTACTGTACTTGGGATTCAATTGCAAATATAATTCCCTGATAATTAAAAAAAAAGGAAAAATACTTGCAAGTTTTTTTAAAATTTTGTACAAAATGAAAAAATTTGGCCACATCTGATGTTTACAAGGTATACTTCTCTGCCACAGTGGTATTTTCTTTAGATAATATCCAAATATTGCATGTTCGCATATTATCCCTAAAAAATTCTTCATACAAGACCGTCCAAAAGGAGAGGGGCCTTAGTCCATAGAGGCAAAATTTTCAGTGGAGCTATTTAGGTGGAGCTGGGTCAAAAATAGAATTTTTCAATTTTCTTATTCATTTACTTTCGATTGGTTGTAATCAGAATTTTGTAATAACTCTGTTTCAGTTTGACAATATTGGGCGTTCTTTGAACAAATTATTCGTAGAAATTCCTCTAGGCTCCAGTGTATCTACATCTTCTCTTTTGAGTTTCTGTAGACTGAAGGCTCTAATCACATGGACAGTCACATATTTAATGTATTCAAATTTAATGCCTATCTAAAGATGACCAAATTCTGAGGAATTTCAAGGAACACAGAGTAGAGCAAAACCAACTACTTTCTGCTTTATCTTACTAAGAGCATGTGTTTGCTTCCATGAGATTACTTTCAAAATTTTTGCAGCATCTCTAGAGCAGGAACCTGACAATAGCGGTTGAAAAAATTTGAAAAATGTTTACCCTCTTCCATGTAACAACTTTCAGCCGATGTTCAAGACCATGTTCTGACTGCTTAATGATGTGAGAAAACACTTTCTGTGCTATTTTGTGCAAGACTGCATTGTCTGTTGTGCTTACAATGCGAGCGAACGGTTCTAGTAATTTGGGCAGGCAGGTTTCAGGCACTTTACCTCTACTGACCTGCAAAAAACAAAACAAAATGAAAGGTTGAGCTTCATGGAATGAGATGAGCAAAAACACAAAATTGCTTCTATTGCATACTAGTAAGAAGAATTAAGGTGACACGCAGTCACTTAATTTTATTGTCTTTTTCATTTTCCACATCGTTGCTCAATTGGAAAAAAAAACAGCGTAATAAAACAAGACATGAAAGTTTAGGATGGATGCGAGATATCCAAAAGATTATTTGAATACTAAATATTACTTTAATTTTATGAATTTAGAATAGGTGTTGTTCAATCAACCAGCTAATCAGTTAGTTATATTTGCCTAACTGAGAGAAAATTAACATTCAATTCCTAATGAGATTAGTGCCTTGTAATGGATTAATTGAACCGAGAGAAAAAAACTAAAATAAAGTTAAAGATGCATTTTACAAACAGAAGTTAAGTAACTAAACACTTTGCTTCTGAAATAACCCACCTTAAAATTTTCTTTTAAAATTGTTTAAAGGTTTTCCTTCAGACCTTCAAATCAGTTTTTCAATCCTATCTCTGGAAAATGTTTGATTTTTGACTGACACTTGGGGTTACAAAATTGATTTTTTTTGCAGAAAAGTGCTATTTGAAGAACTTCAGTTTGACTTTTTTCAGTTCCTGAAAGTTTTCAAATTCCAATTTGGACACTCTTTAAAGAAAGACAATCTACTAGGAGGTAAGGTGGAGAGCAAAATAAATCAAAATTAGGAGGTGAAAAATCTCACCTTGGCCAGCTCTTCTACATAAATATCTTTGACATGAGTAATTAATCCTAAAGGTCCTTTCCGTAAAAACTTCAAAATGAAAAAATGCTCTTCAGCAAATTTGTCGACTTCTTCTTGGGCCCACTTTTTTTTGCGGATAAGTTCAAATGATTGGCGAAGGAATCTACGCACCAACTACAGAGAAACAAAGATGAACAGGTAAGTTATAAGAAAAGAATTGTATGTATGTATCAGCTTTTCAGCTGCCAGAGAGTTTGAAAATCAACTGATGATGTAGAATTTCGTACAAGGTTCGTTTGCGTAAACTTTGATTCAGTATATGGCATACATTAATAGATAGTTTTATTTTCTACATGTTTAAAGAAAATTACCGAAACATTCAGGGCAAAAATAATGTCTATCATCAGGGATTTTTTTTTTTTTTTCTGAAATCGTTCATAAGCCTACCGTTAGGTACATAAAGGAATAATTTTGATTCATGACAAATAGAACTTCAGTAACTGCCATAGTCTAGTCGGTTCTGAGAGGACTCTCTTTAAATTAGGAGTTCTTTCTATCATCATTACTAAAAAGTAACTTAGCTAATGAAAATTTCATCATGTGTTCAGAGGTTATTATACAATGTATTCATTTAGTTCTGTGTGATGAGCTTTTATACTGGGGGGGTTTGAGTACTAACTGTGCTTTTTCACAAATTGGAATCCTCTTGGACAGCATTACTACTCGCAAGCTTATTTTTACACATTATGTTTCAAAGATTCTTACTCAACAACACTGGGTCAACACCGGGTTAGGGTGGTATTTCCTGATTCTGAACTTGGCCGGTAGGATGAGCGCTGACTCTGGTACGTTCTCCCTTACAGAATGGCCCACTTGCAATGATGACAAACAGTAACCGTGGCCTTCTTTTTCTGGTGCTGTTAGCACTTTCTCTCCTCCTCTTTTTTACCCAACATGAGCTTGACAAACATTCTACTATTCTAGCGGAGTAAATACTTTACAAACTGGAATCGTATTGGACAGCGTCATGACCTAAAAGCCTATTCTGCTTGAGGAGCTTCGTTTATAATTTAAAAATCTGAGTTTTTACCGCAGCATTAACAAAACTGAAGTGAGAAGTTATGATCTATGCAACTGCCTTAGAAAACTCATCGTAATTTTTTCCTTTTGCGTTTTCATGAAAGCTTAAAAGATAATGAAAATTAATTTTTACCATCATGAATTTATCTCTCCTATGATGATCAATACCAAGCCATTCAACGACCATCGTGAGATAAAAAGTTCGAATGAAAAGCAATGATGATTCAAAAGTTGGAGGAGCATGGATCAAACTGCTGATTTCATTCGCTAAATCTTCCTGTGAAAAAAAAAGAAAAAAAAAAATTAATTTAGAAGAGAGTAAAAAAGTAAGGTTTCAAAGAAAAAACGCCTCACTACTCACTGCTGAGGTGAAAATATCAAACATACCTTGGAAACTGTAGAGATATCTCACAGTTTACACAGCATCAAGAAAAATTACTGTGGTTTTTTTTTTTCACTACTATGATTGATGAATAACAAATTTAAAAAACTGGAAGAAGTTAGGGATGGTTCATTGATGGTTAAGCATTCATAGAAGATCTCATTTGCTAAACAATGAAGTAGATTTGGCCTGCACCAACGATCTAGAAACTTAGATAGGATGATCCAATGCTACGCAAACAATGAAATTCATGACACACCAAGAGCAACAATTAGTTTCTAGGACAAAGAGAGTCAGTTTCTATGGTTTCTGATGAGACTGCTGCTGAATAAGGACTTATATCAAATTAAGAAGCAACTGTTTGAAAATCTGTCCCAGATATGGAACTGAGCCATCCATCAAGTGAGTATGCGATGTAAATTTCAACGCTATATCATTTATTGTAAAAACTCCCGTAAGATTCCATGTGTGAAGTTAAAATAAGAATAGCAATTGGACAGTTCCACTTCCCACCTGCCTCTTAAACAACAGCTTCATGTGTGTCATGTTTTTCATAGGCAACCACCAATCTACAGTTTCTATATCGTTGGCCTGCATGATGCTGAAATGGAGCATATTTTATAGACTGAAAGAGATCGACCCCCCCCCCCTTTGTAAATCCCTCATGGGAAGAAATAAAGTATCTTATGTATCTATCTATCTATCTGTCTCTATCTGACTGAAAGAGATCACACAGTAATAATTCTGTACCTTTCTCATCGTTAACACAGTCATTAGCTTTGCCTTCCCTATGGTTAACATGGTGTCAATGAAATAATAAAATGAAAAAATTACAAAGGCAAACCAGTTGAGAGTGGGAGAAGGTTATTTCATGCTAACAAATTGATTGATGAACCCATGGTGTCAAAGGAAGTGGGACATTCTTCAAAACATCATTAGCAGTTAACATAGTATTAAAAGTAGTCATAAAGAATAACCTGAGTAAGAGGCTTGTCAGACATCCACATACAGTAAAAGAGCCCTTTCCAAATTCGTAGATAATCTTCCTCCGCAAAATCTGACAGAATAAGAAGTACCAAAGATAAAATAGCTGAATAGAAAATTTAGTGACACAAGAAACAAGAAGTACAAAAACTTTTGTCGTTAAGATCAGGACTGCAAGGCCGCTAGGGTGAAACATGATAAGGCTGCGAAAATTGGGAGGACCAGCTCAAGATAGCATTACGTAAAATCACACGTGTCACGGAACACCTGGGTAAGAATCACTTATTTTAAGCACAAATCTGCTTTAAAGATCTGAAGGTCTTCACCCTTCTTCAAAATAAGAATTGGTCTTATGAAGGATGCAGAAGATACTGGAAAGCAGGTCATGTTTGAAAAACCAAGCGAAATGTGAGAGCTCTTTCTCACTTACTTTGATTTGTAAAAGTTTAGAGTATAATCTCAAGTTTTCATGAGCTGGCACTAATCATGGCTAACTTTTCAAAATTCTAGACCAATTTTGGCTAATTTCCATGTTGGTTTTCCCTTACAGTTAACCAACTTTATGCATCAGAAAAAAAGAACAAAACAAAATGAAAATTAAGAAAAACAAAATTAATACATTGTATAACACTGTATCAATCAGTTATTACCGTGGAAAAAATCTCGGCGTTAAGCCCTTGCATTTAACAACTGAAATAATAAATCGATAAATTTTGTGCTACAGAGGTACCAAACAATGCCTCTTTTAAAATTTTATACTTTTAGAGGAAGATAAGAAGTGGACCTAAAGGAGGTAAAATGTCAAAACGTGTTTTCCAGATAAACTTTTCACACTCTCTTCTCTTCTTCCGTTTAATTTTCTCTTCATATCTTCGACAAAAATTCTCAGATAGTAAACAAACGTGGTTTCAGTGTTTGCAAAAAGTTATGGAAAATTTTTTCTCGGAAGATAAGATCCTTTTTCACAGATCCGGTTACAATTTTAAACTTTTTTATGCTATTTTTGGTGCGTTGTGTTTGACTTAGTTTTACTCAAGACTGAGGATGAAGTTAAGTAACTATTTTCATGTTCAAAATAGCTCTCCTTAACTTGTAATTTTTTACGAGGAAAAAATGTACGACTAGTTGAATTTAACACTACTCCTAACTCATTAAATTCCAGAATGCAACTTGGTGCGTTTCTTTAAAACTCCATCCATTGTTCCTTGACGACAAGACTTTCTTTTTCTTTGAAATCTAAGGATGATTTATGAAATATGATCAAACCGGGGCTGTGATTGGTTGGGACTAACTTACCCTCTTCATCATTGGACATCCATTGACGCAGTCTTTCCATGGCGGCTTGCCTTTCTCTAAGGTGATTAGAGGCGAGAGATTTTGCCATCGTCATTTCGTCCAAAATTTTGTTCCTAGCAGCTGTGGCGTCCATTGTTAGTTTCTGACGAAAGGATAGAATATTATTACCCATTTAAATCATAATAGCACGCTCCACATTAAAGTTGCTGAGTGAGGTAGAGAGAAGGTTCTAGCTGAAGTTTACGTCCGAGTCTTCATGGCTTTCTCAGATAAGCGCTGAGGCGTGGACCAGCAGCAACAGAAGCTGAGACAAGAATATTAGACCAATTACTCGTGAAACAACACTACCTAGAATTAATCTTCTTGACTTTAGGTAGGGGACACTAAACTGTACTTTGAAAAAAATTTCTACATCCTTACGGTAATGATGAATGTGCCAAATATATTACTTTGAGTAATAGATGATCCTGCTACTCTACTTGAAACTTTTAATTATGTAGAATCTCGAAAAGATGAGAATACACCTTCCAATCGCAATTAACTAGGAACGAGATCTTTCGTATTCCAACAGACTGAACAATTGAAGATATGTGTTTGCCTGAAGGATAAGACTAAACTAAGGCGAGAGGAAGCTGTGTGATCGGCCAGCAATATCGATTGAAAAATTGGTATCGACGATGCATGTCTTTTACAGTTCCAAAAAATAGCAAAGGGCTAGCAATTCAGTGATACGTCACCCGATCAACATAACTGACCAGGTCCATAACTCCATTCCATCTTAAACTAATATCATCAACCAGATGAACAAATAATTTCAATAATCGATCCGCAGAAAGCAAAAGGCGATACTATAGATCGATGGCTTACATCTGATAATGACAAGAGAAATACCAGGAATTTCAACTGGGAGGATTTCAAAATAATGCACATCTATCCATCATTGAAAAATATTATAAATGGAGTGATAACTCATACTTATTAGTTACTGAGACTGAATACACTGAAATAAATTGTTTCAACCATGTGTAGGAAGGAATTAGGTTAGGAGAGCTCCGAGGATCAGAGCGCGAAAATGGCAAATAACTTGAGACGGATGGTGCATGGATCACAAAGGGTCAATGGCACTTTCTGGAGTAATAAAAGCAAATAAATAATAGGACTTACAGTCATGATTCTTTCAGAAAATAAGAAAATTAAAAGCACAACCACGCTAGAATTTCAAACGGCCATCTGTAAACAAAAATACGATGAATGATGAGAATACACGCGGCGCGAAAATGATCAATCGATGATCAGTTGCAACCCAATTTAAAATGACGGACTTCATTCCTTGGTTGCGCACCCCACCCCTCCCTCCCATCTTGCTTTTTCAACGATGTTTGAGGCTTACGTGAGATAATTTAATTCATAAACAATTTAAACTGACATATTACAGACCGGATATAAAAATTTATACTGTTTTTCAATGAAAATTTTGAGAAGTAATACTTACATCCACCCGAGGTACAACTTTACAGATCCCTTTCACTGCGCAACTCCAAGAAAAGTAGGTACCTCACAATCAGTTAACACTCGCAGCTGTAACCGAATAGTGTTTTTAGCTATCTCATATTTCTCGAAATAAATTAAACAAATCTCAACTTTAATTTAATTAATATAACTTATGGTGCCATAAAACTGAGATAAGCATATCACATGAGATAGTAGATCATTTTACCGCCCTGATGGACACTGCGCTGGCAAGAAGTTCAGAAATGCATCACTTGTTCACGGTGTTTGAAACTGTCCTTACTTGACTTCTTAATTTTTTTCAAATGAAAGCAAGCAAACGTTAGTAACTGATTTAAGTATTTGCACAGAATATTTCGTCGGGAGGGAATTGAGGAATCAAAGGAACTCCAGGAGAAAATTGTGATCAGTTGATGAATACAGGTAAGTATACTTAAAAGTATTTTCTTTAGACTTGTAAAATTCAAAATTTTTGGGAATTTTTCATTTTCAAAACCCAGAGTGATATCTGGAGTGAATGACACTCCGAAGCTTATGAACGCTGAAAAAAAGTTGGATCGTACGAGCCGAATGTTCTTGATTCCGCATCGTTCGAATAATTCGATTTGTCCAACCATGCAATCTGTCGGACCGAGAATTCGACTCACATGAGATCGAGCTCTCCGATAACACAAATTAAGGAAGTTCGATTACACGAATCGGACTTTCGATCTTTTAAACCAGAATTTCGTTTTGCATTTTCACTTTGTAAAAAGAGTTAGTTTTGTGTCGCATTCATATCACTCCGTTTCTTTTAGAGGCATATACACTTCCGGATGCACACTCCACAACTCAAAGATTTTAAAAGTGGAGCATAGAATACAGTAAGCTTATCCTCAGCGGAAGATTGTATCGTTATGAAAAGGTGATATCCATAGGCGGTTCTACGGGGGTGCCAGTGGGTGCCGGGCACCCCCAAGCAAAAATTAAGTACGGTTATCGGAACCGTGAAATTACTGCTTTTAAAGATTCTGTATTCGCTCACACTGAGAAAAAATCCTAGCAATTCATTGAAGATGTTGTAAACAGAATTAATATTGATAGCCGTATTTTACAAAGATTCTACTGTTTTTTATGGTAAGATTGTAGTTTTGATGGAGAGTTTTGCTAAAAATTGTCTACATTTTTTTAGGTATTCAAGTAGAAAGTAAGGAGAAAAAAGAGAAAGGAGGGTAGGAAAGGGATAAAACTTGAGGGCCGAGACTTAGGCCTCCCCTGAGCGACCGTACCCTTCGGAGCCGGTCTCCGACATTTTACACTTCTAGGCACCCCCAAGCATGAAGGTCTAGAACCGCCTATGGTGATATCAACGATATAAAGTGCTCATTGGACGGGATGACAAGCATAGGCTACTTACGCGCGGCCTAGGGCGGCATACTTTATGGGGCAGCAAAAAAAATGTGCAAAGAGGAGATAATAGATGTGTCGCAATCACAAGCACCGCCGAAAAGGTGGCAAAAATTAAATTTTGCCGAAGCCAAATGATTGTAAAAACGGCATGCGGCACCCGATAATTTTTTTTATTTTCGATGAATGCTTTGGCACACGTGAGTTTGATACCAAGATGCAACTTTTCCCTCTTAAAAATCTTGAAGTTCAAAAGCCAGTGTTTTTTGACCAGCACCCCCCTCCCCCCCTCCGTGACGGCAAGTTGTCTGAGTGGCGAGACCTTACAGCCTTTGGGCAGTGTAAACGTAAATCCGGCCATGCTTATAACATTTAAAATGATTTTTAAATTCTGCTTACTCACTTGAGCAATGTTTGACGTGCTGAACGTTGTTGTTTCCCTCGATGTTAAACGTGTGCAAGTGAGCGCGCAGAAATTTTTTCTATTCGTTTTACCATTTGACTTGTGTCGTCCTCTGAAAAGTTTAAATAACTTTGCCCACCTCGTCAAATTAGCGAGGCCATTTAAAAAAAAAATACTCAGCCTCTTGTAATCATGAAGTGCATTCGTGTACATTCAGATCGCCTGCATTTGAGAGGGTAAAATTCGCCTCGACGAACAATGGAGGTATGGTATTAAAATTACGGTGCTATAGCGTTGTGGATGGTGTAATTTTTTATGCGCTCCTTCAGTGCTTAAGTATATTATACTACTTTTTAATTCCTAGGACTACGTAATCCCCAGCTTCATTGGAACGTAAGTACATATTTAATTAAAATCTGTCTAGCAATGTACACCAGAAAATGCCTAATTTCTTACCACGTTTTCATTTTTTTACAATCTTCACTAAACACATCTCTTTTACTCCCACATACACGCATTGCCCCAAGCCCGTTGCCCGGCCTTAGCATGGGGATGCTACGACATTCGAATTATACGACATCTGATAAGTCCGAAAAACATAGGTAAGAGTGCCTTCACCGTTGAAAAGTTGCTTTAGCACTCCTAATCCCTGTGCGCGTGAAAATTGCGCTGTATTCCACTCGCCCAGAAAACCCTTCTTCGCCTGCGTTTCCGCTCTTTTCACTCGCTGTCTCCTTCCTGAAAGGCATCGCTCGAAACGTACATACGCGGCATACGTAAGCCGCTGTGGCTCGCTTTACTCGCCTCGCGTCTAGCCGGGAGCCCCGGTCATTCGCCTAGCGACTTGCTGATAGGCAAAAGGGCGGAAGAACCCATGTCATCGCGCCGCTTCGACAGATTTATGGCAGACAGGCTGCGGCCTTCTCTCTCAGACAGAGTCAGAGTTCGACCTTGGGCCTTGGGTGCAGGGTATGTTACAACGGGAACTCAAAGGCAACCCTCGCTCGGGAACTTATGGTTGGAGGGGGGTGGTTTGGCTTTCAGAGCGTCTCAGGTGAAAGAGGCTGAAAAATTTGGAAGTTAGACAATTTTGCGAGCATCTGCAAGCCAAGAGCTTTTACCGGAATCAAGCGTCGTCGAAGTCGGTCCAGTAGAATTCTAGAAATAAGCGTTACAAAGAAACCCCAACGATTTAATTTATATATGTAGGTAGAAGACAGATAGATTAGCAGAAGCGCAAATTCAAAAACTTCTGAATTAGCGCCAAATGCCACGATTGGCCACCTTTTAACCGCGCTTAGTGATGTTTCCAAAATTCTCCACAAGAGAAGATGAGTGATTGATACAGCGATACAGCGCTAGTATCGCAAAACAGATTTGTTTTCGCACGTTTTTCGAACGAAGTTTAGATCCACATGTCGCAGGCACATAAAATAGTGAAGTTGTTGTACGAAAATCATTGTAAGTAGTCGGTCGAGCTTTTCACCCTGATTCTTTCTCAGTTGAAATTAGCTTCAAGAATTCTATGTCAAGCATTTAAAGCCAGATTCATTCTGGACCAAGACTCTGTAGATCGTCGTACAAACTACCATCGATCACTTCGCAGATGTCAGACCCTCAGGTTTTGATGTTTTTCTCCCTCAAGTAATGTGGTAAGAAATCATCCCGCAATGTGTGAATTCGCATTTCTTTACAACGTGCCTCTTGATGTTTGACAATACCCTGATTCTAAACTTTCATGACAATTCTTGCTCACTGCCCATGGCAATGCAATCTCAACGCTGCAGCATGATTTCAGATTTCACACAGATGTAGAAAACTGTGGCAGGATACGGAAGAGTTTTTTCCCCAGATTTTTCAGCATTCTCCATTGTATGAAGTCACGTCTCTGATGTTACAATGGCTCTTAATTCCTAGGACAAGGGTTATCAACCATGACAGCCTCTAACCTTGAGCAGTCTGAACTGAAGCAGCCCCTAGACACAAACAGGCAGGCACTTAAAAATCTGTCTTTGTCCATCAAATAAGGAAAGACTAAGTATAAATGGAGTCTTGTAATTGGCGAGCTGAACTACTCTACCTGTCGAAGTAGATAAGTAGTGATGCAGTGAAATATCTTGTCTCTCACTCACACATTATACCTAGTGCCCTATTGAATCCACCGTAGAGAAAAGACTAATCATCTCCTTGCATGATTTCCGTCTCACTCATGGGCTCTTAAGGCATCTAGGTAATGTGAAAAAGCATCAAGGTGAGAAACAAAATTTCAGCATTTGCCATTGGTATTCAACGAACTGTTGACTCCATTCCTAATGATTGCATGACTGTTTATCAGTTGGAAAGTACCTAGAAGAAGACTATAGAATTCCAAGTACCATTGAAACCCTGGCATCACCTATCACACTGATGCAGACGAATTTATGAATATCAGATCCTACCAGTGTCAGCTCCGAGTAGCTTCAAACGTTGATTCTCTTTTTTTCAACCATCAACTGATTTTTTGGAAAGTTTTCTAGCTACTTTCCTGAGGCAATTTCACCATTGCAATCCCTGGAAGTATCAAAGACCTATGGAATATCGGTCCGAGACTGTAGATTAGGAAAATGATAGCAAAGAAGATTGTTCTTCTCATGATGTATGTGCATGTATGAATGGAAGAGAGACTGTAAAGGACCCCGCACACTCTTTGTAGGAAAGTGCACCACGATCAATTTTTAATTTTCTGTATTGCATTCAATTCATCTCAAGATGCTGATTAAAAGTCATCATTGAGCCAACTCTCTACAAAACACCGTTTTCGCATAATACGCCCAGAACGTTTCAATTATTCGGCGACAAAGAGTCAGAAAGATTCCTCATTTCAGCACTCGAGTGAACAATCGGCTGTGTGTCAACTTTCAGGTGAACTCCAGCACCGAGCGGCAGTCTTATCTCGGATTCTGCTCGCCTTTTTGCTTGACCATCCAAATCAGATTCATGAGGAGCGTGAGAACAGGAAAGTGGGATAAAAACAGTGCACGTTAAACGGAGGAGAGCGGGAGGGAGATAGCCCCAGAGTAGGCAGGAATAGATAAGAGGACAGACACTCGCTACGTTTTCCCTTATTCTTATCAGACCTGTTCTTGAATGCCTTGTTTTCTTTGACTCTTTATCGCCCAAAAATTGAAGCGTTCCAGGCGAATTTTGCAAAAACGGTCAAGGTAAGTTGGTGCAATGATCACTTTTGATCAGCATCTTGAGATGAATTGAGTGCAGTAAAAAAATTAAAAATTGATCATGGTGCACTTTCCCACAAGGGGGAAACAGGGGTCCTTTATATAGAAAGTGCCCTACCCACAATTGAATACCTACCCGGTTAAGAGTAAAACAGTTCTAGAAACTGAAATTGCTAATTTTGATAATAATCAGCAATTAAATCATAGGTTTGCTTGATTTCAGGCTGGGCGTGTTCTTTGCAAGTGTACGTGTCTATCTGTAGATGCACCTATCTTTTTTTTGCTGGCCTTTGACAAGAAGCCAGGTCTAAGGTTTGTAACTCAGCTGTAATTTTAGAGGTCTTTGTCACTCTGATTTTAGATTAGTGTCATTGATGTCAGAGTGAAGGCAGAGCACTCAGATTGGTACACACTGCTTTAATTGACAATTTCAGTCTAATCAGTCTAACGTCAGGCTAACTCACTATTACTAGCTCATTGATAGTGAAACTGCGCAGTTCATGAGCGCACAGTGAATTACTCAGTTTGCAAAGTCTCAGACTTCCTGTCATACTTTATATTTTGAATGGAAAGAACTCAAAGTCATTTCTTGAAAACTTCTCTGGTTTTTCTTGTCTGTGTGAAGAATATTCTTTGACAATTTCAAGCAATAGCATTAGTTTGTCTCCTTATGACCGAATAAAATGGGAGTGGAGCTTTTGAAAATCCCAAACAAGACACCCCTTCCTGCAGTTTCACTGTTGACATGTCATCTCTTGATTTTTGGACAGTTCCTCATAACTGTCTCGGAGGGTCCATCTCAATCTTGCCGTTGCCTGGACTCTTTCAAAATCAACATTTCATTATCTTAGCTGATCTTGTGTACTTTGTATTCTTCTATCCATTTATAGTTAGGTACTTCATGTGTTCCTGCTTGCTGATGTAGTGGCATATTAGCAGATTTTGCCGGATCAAACATTGTCCATTAATTACGAGAGGGACATGTGGAGACTGAAGCATCACAGTTGAATGGAATCATTATAGCTGTTGTTTGTCATTAAAAGATTGTTCCCATTTTGGCAGGAAATAGAATACATATGAATGTATTTACTTTAGGACTGCATCTACATTGATGTATTTATATAGCCCTAGAGGCTTCTTCATGGAATCCATGCGTGGACTGTTTTAACAGAAATGCTTTACATGGCATATTGGGGGAAGAATAGAGTCTAGAGTACTTTTGAATTCAATGAGTGGCAAATTTGCTCCTCCTAAAAATTCAGAGTCGCAAAAAAATATTTTAAACATAATAGTTGTTAAAATTTATCCTCAACATTTAGTCTTCGTTGTAGCCTCATAGAGGCTTACAAACTGGGAAAAAACAGGAAAGAGACTACCAATTAAGACACTAAGCACAGAGACATTAATGCAATGTTTTGTGTGTATGTTTTAGGAGCGTATTAAGGACTACCAGAGAAGCTGGGACTATGATCGAAGGAAAACTCATATCAAAGAGAGTCTAATCGAATGATAACATGCATTAAGGACTCTGTAAAAGGCTATTGGCAGGAAAGAGTCCAGGTGCTGAAGAAGAGAAGCTGATGGAACTATAGCTGAGTGAGTCATGGGAATCAAACAGTTTCACAAAGAGATAAAACTTGAATACTTTTTCTCGGTTCAAACTCGGTGCTCAAATTCTGCCCATACTGTTTCCCAGTATTCATTAGTTTGGAGAAACCACTCCTTATGAATCCCATAAGGATGTATTCTTAGAGAAATCATAAGATGAAAAAGTTCATGAGACCTTCAAGCTAGAATTTTTATATTGATTCATTATGAAAAAAATTGAATTTTGAAGGTAGATTTTCATATCTTGTTTCCTTTCCATCACGATGCTTGGGAGATGAATTCATGGAGAAGCTTGACTGATTTAGACAGTATAAACCAATCCACAATTTATCAAAAAGAGCTTTCTATGAGTATCTCTTTAAGTATTAAGTCATGACAGTATGGGCGTATTTACAGATTTTTAAACAGTTGATGCTGCTAGGGTCATTGTTAATGTAGTGAGCATACTTTTTCTCTTTTTTCATAATTTCTCCTAGGAGTGCAAAAAATTCTTGGCTTGGCAAATCCCAAATCGCGTACTCTGTAAGAAAATTTTGGGATGAATTTTCTTTTCTTTATTTTGGTTGCAAAATGAGAGAAAATCGAAAAGTGAGCTGAATTTGTAATATTTTGGCACAATATTTACATGTGATAGTTGGGCGGACTGAGGAAATTTTCCGAGACTGAGAAAATCTTGAGGCTAAAGCACTTCAATACTATTAGAGGACTTCCTTGGTAAAAGGGCTTTTGTGGCTTTCAATGATTGGAAGATGTGAGCCGCAGTTTTTTAACTACCGAAAGTTTTGCTATGAATTTTTCCTTGACTTTGCTCCAAATATTTTAGCACTATTGTGTGAAAGTAACTTGACTGAAAGGATTTCATTTTTTACAAAATGTCATGAAAAATTTTACAATCTTGGCAGTATTGCAAGTCTCATAAATGCTTTTACTAAAGAGGCTCTCAATTAAACTTATTTTTATATCAAAGAACTATCTGCACCCGTGCGTGTAAACTTTTTGTCAGACCTGAAAATGGTGAAAGACTATTCAACAGACACCACTGTCCTCCACCATAGCCAAGCATGGAAAAAAAATAGAAAAAATGGAAGAGAAAGAGGGAGAATCAGGGAAAGGAGCATTTTTTGAAAGACAAGCGCATAACTGCAATAAGCCTGGACTAGTAGATAAGTACATTTACCAGTAGATCGCAAAATTATATGGACTACTAAACAGAGAAAGAAATCAAACACCACAGCACAAGTTTTCGCATCAAAATTTCTTTTAGAACACATTGACCATATTTAAAATTGCCAAAAGTAAGTCATGAGAGAAAATTGAATGCTTGTAGTTTACATTGCAAATAGTATATTCAAACTTTCTGCTCACGGAAAAACCATGATCAACTTAGGCCAAATCAGCCGTAAGAAAACAACTTGTACATTAAGCAAATAACTGGATAATGGTTTCTCACAAATTTCCCTCTCTTGATACAAAGCACCTCTTGTCAAAAACAAATCAGCACATACAAAAATTCTCCCACCAAAAAGTTTACTAAAATTAGCGTAGTGCTCGATTTGCCTTGAGTAGACTTTGGTGCTTAGTGAATGGGAAGTGTGAGTTGACATATGCTTGAAATGCTGTTTTCTCATTTATTTATTGAATTTTAAATGCATCCATGGTACTTTACAAAAAGCGTCAATTTAGAAACTTGTACTGTGGTGCTTCATTTCATACAGTGTTGGTCCATTCTTGTATTTTTACATGTTCCTTTTTTCGTATTCATCCCCTCCGAAACGAAAGGTCTAGAAAATCAGTATGAGAGATCAAATTTCTCAAGTTTTGCCATTCTTTCAATCTCCAAATTTAAAAGCTGCACTCGCTTAAAAGTGGATGTGAAAGAGAAATGTGTATAAAAAGTTCCTGAGAGAGCATCCCTGCGGAAAATTTTGCATCTAAATCTATCAAAATCCGCAATCATTTCGTCACCTTTTAGCCAAAGTATCACAAGCGCCATGTACGCTTTGATGGTACGCTTTGATCTATCAAAATCTGCAATCATTTCGTCACCTTTTAGCCAAAGTATCACAAGCGCCATGTACGCTTTGATGGTGTGTTGCTGTACATCTTGACATTGTTTTAATTTTCCCTCAGAAACCTTTGTGCATTCTTCCAGAGATCGATCTTGATAACTCAGTGTGATTCAGTGACAGGCGTTTCTATCGTTTGTTTTTCTGTGAAAAGTCGGACAAGTTGGAAGAGTTCAGTAACAGTTCCTCAGCACTAATAGCATTTGTGATACTTTGGCTGCAGTATGACAATTTATCAATTTAAAGTGCAAAGTTGCGAGTGATGACCTTGAAAAATTCCTCTTCCTCACCTACAGATTAAATTCGTTACATTTCCTTGTGCCAGCCACATTTCAAATGAATTTTTGATGAGAATGGTCATTTTAATTAATTCTTGACTCCGGCTAATGGTTTACCTTTTTGTGCTCCTCGTCACCTTTTGCATTATTTTTTATTTTCGTCACAGGTACGTTCAACAGCAAACATGGAACCAGAGTCGGAGGATTTTAACAATTTTTTGCCAGCAGTATGGCTCATCTTTGGAGGATCCTATTTCAATCATTCAAATGCTCCGAAAACTACTCCAAGGGCTCAAGATGACAATGTGAAATCGTCAAACAAGCAGGAACCTTCAGACTGTCGTGAGCAAATTTTAGTTGATCTATTACGTTACCACATAGAAAATGAATATGTAAACCGCCTTCAGTCTTCCGCCCTCATAACACAGTTGATGTCAGTAGTTGAATTATTTAAAATTTGGTCCGAAGATCTGACTTTGATTTATGAAATTCGAGTACTTTCAAACAATAATGATGTAGAGTTTGATTCTAAATTAAAATTCCTAGCCGAGCGAATTTTTCAAAGAATATCTGATTTTCATGAATGTACAATCATTCCGACCGGATTAATTTCATCGGAACTTACGGATGGTAATGAAAATGTTAGTTTAGCCGTTTTAAAGGAAGAAGGTCATCGTATGGATTGGATCCAGGTTGATCCTGGCAGCACATACCATCAATGTTGCCATGATCTAGTTGATACGAGACGAAATGCTTTCTTCAATATACGCAACGTACAAAAAAGTAAAATCACTAGAGAATGGGTTCGCTTATTATTAACTTTTAAATGTATCACTCCAACGCAATGCTATAAAGAGCTCATGTTTTATGAATGGTTGCTTCCTCACCTTAATGGTGAATCCACTCTTCAATCGAAGCCTGATGAAGGTTTCATCAGGTATCGTCATTCATCACCTACTCACACATGGCAAGTTCTTGATCAATCATTCCGGTACCTATTGCAGCATTTTCTGGGCAATTCTTACCTCCCGATTTACCAAGAAATAACAACCAGTTTCAAAATTTCCTTGATGGAAAAGTCCTTAACCGTTTATGAGGAAAAGGTTAGCAAAGATATTCGACAATGCCATTTCCTTCTTCAGGAAATGATGAGAGATGTCGCTCAGCAGGCGCTAGATCACGGAAATGAAAAACAAAAAGAACATGCTTTTGTTGTTTGTGAAGCAGTGAAAGTAGCCCTAGATAATAGCTGCAGTAAACAACAACTGGAACTGGAACTTCAATCCAATATCGGTGATGTGCATGTATCATCATGCAGATTTCCTGCTCTCCATTTACCAAAAATTACGTCTTCCTCCAACACTTCCTCCTCGTCCAGTTTAGATATTCACCCCAACTTTGTGAAACCAAATATGCAGGATGACATAATTGATTACCTCAAAAAATTTAGGGGAAATTTCTTAAACAAATTGACAGCTGAAGACTTCGACACATCTGCGCTGATATGTCGGAGCATCGAAGAATGTTTCATCAATTTTCTTTGGAAAAGCGATATATTGGAAGTAACAGGCTTGTTACCATTCACGAGAAACGATGTTTATTTGGCATCATGTTTAAAGGACCTTGGCGAGTTGTACTACACATGTCAAGGACGATTAGTGAATTGCTACCTTAAAAAAGAGACCTATGAACCACTTTTATATGCAAAAAACGTGGTAGTTCAATTCTTTGTGTATGCAGCAATTGCTGCATTGAACCTTCGTCATGGACGTATAGGGCCTGTTCTTGCAAATTATAACCTGAGCACTTCCTGCAGTGAATCGCTGAAGTTATCCACGATAATCCCTTCCCTTGTGATTGAGGATTCGCAGTGGCTGAATGTATTATTCTCCGTTCAAACTTTTTTCGAGCACAGTATTGAAAGACATACGCTCTTCTCATTCCGATCATTCATCAATAAGAAGCCAGCTTTGAACATGACTTTGTCTATTAGAAACGAATCCGAACTAATGGATAACAATGTGAGATTCGCTTATGATCTGCTACAAACAGATGCCGATGTATTTGATGCATTTAATGACGACCATGCTGACCTAGAACCGGTCGAAGCGCATCGAAAGTGGACAAAACTCACTTATACTGATCCTAAGAAATATTTGCCTGAGCTGTATACATTTCTACCTCTAGTAGCTCACAGTGCTAAAACAGCTTTAACCGGTTTTGACCTGTTAAATACAGGTTCTAAAAAGTACTCAGCAGAGTGGTTTTGTTCTAGAAAATATGGTTCTTATTCTTTGGTCAACTTTAGAGTAAATACCAGGTGTGTTAGTACTAATGCTGAAGTGAGTAAGCTTACAAGTTACAGACTAAAAACAAATTCGGCCTCTGTGAATTCTTTTCAACCGTTTATTAGTTTCAACTGGGAAAAGGATGATAAAAATGCCAAGAAAAGTATACATTTGTGTGAAAATGAAATCATCGCCCGCCTAAACCAGAAACCAGACACCATGGATTGTAATCGTTATCTACATTTAGGGTTTCTACAAAGCGAGCCACATCTAAAGTTGGAACGTTTGTATATTGCGCTAAAGGAACAGCAGCTTAATTTTAGTAGCAAAGAAGAAGGTGTATTGATAAAGCAAACCTTATTTGAAATCAGCATATCCAAGGAAATTGATGAGGTGCCTTGCACCTTACTTAAATGGACTGCTTTTCACAAGCCAGAATTGATTCATGAGTTGGGCTCACTGCTAATAGAAAAAGCACGCGCAATGAAGTATTGCCTGACGCAACATTATGCTTTAGGCGATATTCTTATTGTGACCCTAGGTCTAGTAACATTTTATCCATCCGAGTATAGAGATTTTTTCATCGAAGGTATCTTAGATATATTCTACATGCTTAAAGGAATTTTAACGGAGTCTCCAACCCATTTAAGTGATCAAACTTTGCTCTATCTTAATGCATACCTTATCATAATTGTACAAGCTTCCCAGCATCTGTTGAAAACGGAGCTTGTAACAATATTGAAAGCATTCCTGGAAATTGAAAGATACAAAGCTATAGGAACTCATCTCGACAACAACTTTTTATTGCGTATAAGGTCAGCAAGTTTCGATTGGTACTCACAAGTCGAGGATCGTTTACATGAAGACTCAGATATACTCAACAATGTGATGTTGAACATCAATCCACAATGGAATCAAGAGAGTTCATGGACAAAAAGTAAAAACGAATTATTATTCAGGTGTAATGATTTTGCAATTAGACCTCTACATGGTTGTGTTTATTTTAACAATCAATCTATTAGAGGACTACCCAGCAGTATTAAAGAGCACCAAGTCTTCCGAGATTATATCGGAGAAGTGAATTTTGCTGTTCGCCCTGAAACTTGTGAAATTGATTCCAAAATGTTGCCATGTTACGTTTCTGTTGGTTATGAGCCTCAAACACGATTCACATTGGTACAGAATAAAATTTTATTAATTGAAGAATGGATTCAAGATAGTTTCCAACGGTACGTCCCAGCTCATGAAATATCTTCTCATGAGAACAAGTACCCCCAAGCCTTCTACAAACTACCAAATAACACAGGAAAATTAAGGCATTGGTTGAAAGGTCGTTCATTGATACTCATCAAAGATGAAAATAAAAAGGTTGTGTTTGAATGGGACCTAAAGGCTAGGACTCTGCTTTCTGTGCAACATGGTGGATATGTTGTTCCATGGAAACAACTAAAAACTTGTTTCTTTAAAAAATGGCTGGAACAAATGGAATTGCCTGATTGGATAGAACTCATTGCTCGGCCAACATCCAATGGCTCAGGTTATTACATCATCGAATCATTAAATTTGCCTCGATTAGGCTTACATTTTTGTTACCAGAAAGGTGAATTCTTCTCCAAACAGATTCATGGTTATGTCATTGCTAAACTGCAGCATTTGAACACATTGCATGGATTAAGCTATATGGTCTTGGAGAGAAAAGAACGCAACTCAACATGCGTATCTAAGAAAATTATTATTCCGCATCGTATCATAAAACCGACAGGTCCTTTTTATAACAAGATACCAATCATTGATGCTAATGATGTCCTATCACCCGCTTATTTTGTGTATGATTATGATCCCAAGTTAAACATGTTGAAAGGGCATCACATCCGAGCTCAGCTTTATCTCGCTTTACTTTTTTATTGCTCAGTGTCTATGGATAATCTAGACATTTCCAATTGTAATTTGTACCACTTAGCAAGGGAGAACTTGGAACTATGCTGGAAAGATGAGCCGTATGATGAAGTTGAATTTAGCATCATTGAGCAATTTTTTAACCTCAGTGATTTGCGAGATGCTCGCAGCCATAGCTTAGCATTGTATTTAAAAGTTGCATCCTTGTTGATTTGCAGTTTACGCTTGGAGTTTTTGTACACGGATGAAAGTGCAGAGGTGATTAAAAAAAAGAGTCATCAGTTATTAACAAGTATGTCAAAGCAGCTTCCTCGTTTGTTTCTATCTTATCTACAAAACAAACCGAATATTTTTGTACGCATACAACTTAGCTCAGAAGAAGAGGAAGATATCCTGAAACAGTGCTTGCAACCAACCAGTAATATAAAGAACAATAGAGAAGAAATGGCTGAAATTTTATCCTTCCTGAGAGCCTATAACCAAGTGTATTTTAAACTGCAACCCCAATCGCTTTCACCACCAAACGCCCTAAGACCTTTCAACTCATTCTACCGTCAGTTTTTTTCTCAAAAGACACTTCTTGATACCGAATTTGAGAACATTTTCCAGAATCATCTCGCTTTCTTTAAGTTTCCTTTCACTGCAGAAACAATTTGGTGGACAAAAAAACTATCTTCGTCCAGTATCAGTTGTATACTAAGTGATCAGTTTCATTTGAAAAACTTCATCTCCTTGTATAATCTAGCAAGAAGTTCTCAAGTGAGTCTCTCCAAGTACAGCTATTTTTTACATTATATTGTCTTGATGGCGAGTATTACCCACCCTGAATTTCCGAGTGAAGTCAGGATGATGCTGGCTCGTGCTCTCCTCCTTGTTGCTGAAAATCCAGATTTGTTCCCTAAGTCCCCTCAATGGTTCAATGCAAATCATCTTTCCGTCAATTTGACCCAAAGGAAAGTTTACAAAAGTGATATCATTGACTCAATTCCGTCTCTTCACTGGAAGCGGCCGAGAGATTATGACGAGTTTGATGATGAAAAGAAAGAAAAAGAATTGCAAAAGTTCGAAGAAGAAAAACAGAAGTACGAAGAAGAAAACAAAAGAATTTGGAAGCTCTTTAGTCAGTATGATCTTGATGATGAAGGAGTGCCTCTTAGTCTCCCGTCAAATAAAGATGATTTCCAACTTGAGTATGAATCCAGAATGACTTTTCTGTACCTGAGCAAGAAAGAAATAGTGAGAGATGTTCACCGTCGAGCTGCATACAATGATAGCATGTTCAATTTTTTTTATCATATTGTGAAAGTTTGCGATGATGAAAAGTATGCATCTGAAACGGCTTGGCCTGTAGCTGCTCCATCAATCGATAAAAAAATTAATGTCCACTTTGAGGCAAAAAAAGAAAATGCTTTGGCCATTGCCTCACAGCAAGTTAGCCTAGAAAGATGGATTGTCCCTCAGCAACCATTAGTTGATTTGAACCAATTTTTTACTTTTACTTTGTCCCAAGCTGAAGAAAGTGGCTTTTTATTTGAAGCTCAACTGAGAGAACAGAAAAATGGATACCAGCACAAATTTTATAGTGAATTGAAAGATAGTTGGTCAGCTTATCAAACTGAAGATAGGTGCACTTATTCCTGGCTCAGTTCCCAATCTCTGAGTGAACTAGAATTCGTCCTCCGAAGCAAATTCGAAATAATTCGTGAACGAACTGAACAACTATGGGGTCACATCGCAGAACGGTTCAAATTAAGGACAAACAGTGAGTCCAACAACTACTTTGCACTACGATGGCACTGTGGTCAAGTGCTTTATTATAATAAGCAAGACTTGTTGACAGTATTGATTGCGCCTCAGAAGGTGGAGTTGTACAATCCTGACTGTGTAGCACAAAAAGAAGTTGTTTATCAAGAGCTACTGGAATATTTAATTCACGAAATAAACTCTGCAAAATTAATAAGAGTACTGAATCTCTTAGAAAACCACAAAGAAGCTGACAACGACACAGAACGATTCTCAATAGTTCAGACTCTGGTTAGAAGTTTACAGGAAAATCTCAATTCAGAATCCTACAGAAACCCCCACTGGATTTTGTTCCAATTTGAAAATGAAATAATCGTTCGAAACAATCAAAGCGAGCTGATACTTGCAATGTTAGCTCAAAATGGAAAAGCTATGTTCCAACTAAACATGGGAGAGGGTAAATCTTCTGTTATTTTGCCACTACTAAGTTATAACTTAGCAGATGGCAATCAATTATTACGCATAAACGTTTTGTCTGCACTATTAATTACAATGAAAGAATTTTTACGCCAGTGCTTCTCAGGTTTGATTCGTAAGCGTATTTATACCTTACCTTTCAATCGTGATACAGACATTTCAACAAAAAATATAACTTTGATATCGAACATGCTCAAAACATGCCAAAACAACCGGCATATTTTACTAGTCACCCCTGAACATCGTCTATGTTTACAGTTGAAAACAAGAGAACTATTGTTGGAACATCAACAGCAAATGGAAGCTACCAACCTTTTCAATTGGAATACCTACCGGCAAAGGGCTGAGTTTAAAGATGATGTTTACAAAGACTTGACAGAAACAGAAAAAGAAGACCGATTGCTGAAACAAGATAAGTGCCTGAAAGCTTGTTTGCAGGCTGATGGGTACATTGACACCGAAGACTCAGATACCAATAAAATTCTTAAAGCACCACCGCGAGGACGCGGCCGGCTAGAATTCGCGAATTACAAAAAAAGAATTGATGATTCTTCATTCAGAGAATGGAGTTGCTTGAAAGCTGCTTATCAAGAACTGAATTGCAACTCAAAACTTGCTTTTGCAGATACCAGTGAAAAACTTAAGCTTCTTAGCGAAATGAATGTTCTTAGGGCCATTGACCTATTTGATGAGTCCGATGAGATCCTAAAGCATGGAACGGAACTAAATTATACTATTGGTGATAGGTGTGCTTTTGCGGGTGGAGAACTCCGCTGGAAAATACCACAGTTTTTCATCAAAGCAATCTTCTGTGATTTCGAAATAAGAGAAGTCATTGATGCCGGAAAAGTTCATGGTTTCACAGCTGTCAGTCAAAGATTTAGTGATGAAGGTGGTGTACCATTTATACAATTGCTTTGCAAGTCTTATTTTGATGATCATATTAAACCTTCACTCGTAGAAAAATTTTTCCAGGAAAACTTATCTTCGCTCCGAAAATATCAAACCAGTGCTGACAGTTGTTTTGCTCAAGATGGAATCAGCTCCCTTAGGCAGTATGTTGCTGGAAAACTGCAGTTAAATGAAGAAAAGAAAGTATTGGCTTTCCTTGCTGATAAAGGTCCATTAAAAGATAAGCTACTCATTGCGAAAGGTTGGCTTTCTCATGGGATCTTATTTCATGTATTTAATTCCAAATACAGGGTTCAATTTGGATTACATCTAAATTCAGAAGGTGAAGCAATTAAACGTATTGCAATCCCATTTTTGGGAAAAGACACGCCTTCTCCCAGATCTGAATTCAGTCATCCAGATGTCATGCTTGGGTTCACTATCATAAGTTACTTATATAAAGGTCTCAGCCAGAAAGAACTCAAGGAAACACTTCTCAATTTAAAAGGTAGCTTCAGTGCTCCAGTTGGAGATATGACGCTGAGCAGCTGGACTCAGGCTGGTGAAGACTGGATTTCAACTCAGGTAGATGAATTCCCACCATTGCAACTTACATCCTTGCAATACATGGATTTGGCAGACGAGCTCTGTTTGACACAAGCACACCAGTACTTATCAGGCAATCACTTAGCCATATTTGACTACCTGAATCAGTTTGTATTGTTGGAAGAAGCCACGCAGTATCGTCATAAAATCAGTGCCAACGCTCATTCTTTAGTGGGCTATAATGCAGCATTAGGTTTTTCTGGTACAGATGACAGAAAGATAACAATGCCATTTCAAGTTGAATCTCGCTGCTCTACCTCTCAAATAGGGACTAACGGTAAATTATTATCAGTTCTGACGGAAGAGCGAAACAGTCATTATCAGTCCTTGGAAACAGAGGACTCAAAAAAATTGTTGACGGAATTGTGTTTATTTGTCAAAGAAAATAAGCACTGTCATGCCTTGATTGATGCCGGAGCATTAGTTACAGGGCTCTCAAACAGTGATGTTGCCAAATTTTTAATTACCCACCTGCCTGATACGTTTGTTGGTATCCTATACTTTAGCGATGAAGGCAATAAACTGACTGTTCAAACACGGGATGGCAAAATCTCCGCATTACAAGATTGCTACCTGGATAAAAGGTTCTTATTCGCTTATCTGGATGATATACATACACGTGGTACAGATATACAGCTTCCCTTAAACTGCCATGCCATACTCACTATTGGCATGGACATGTCAAAAGATAAGTTAATGCAAGCTGCCATGCGCTTAAGACAACTAGCCCAAAAACAGTCGGTTTCTCTCTGGGGCACGCAAGCTGTCTCATTTGCAATTGCACGAGACAATTCAGTCGACCCAACCAAAATTAATAGTCTAGAAGTAATTAAATGGGTCACCCGCAACACTATCAATCACATCAACGAGGATTTGTTCCCAGTAGCAGTGAGGAAAATCAACTTCGAGTTTTTACTAAGAGCAGAGGCCTGGCTGAAAGAGGCGCCTGCCAACCTGAATATTTTGGTTCAATTTTGTCAGAGTGAGGAGTTGTTTCAACTGGAAGATTTTTATGCCCTTTCGCCCCAATGTGAAGATTTAGCGGATCGGCTGGATTGGTTGGTTGCCACACGCATCCGAATATTCTGGCGCGACCTTGCGCTCGAGTTTCAAAACAAAAAGCTGACAGATACCCCTTTTTACAAAAAAATATTTGAACGATCAAATAAAGTTAACTTAAAAGACCAACTCAGCGCCATCACAGAAACAGTAATAGAATATCTACAGGAGGGCCTGATTCATCAGTCTCTTGATGATGATGAAGAAAAAGAAGTAGAAGTAGAAATAATTCAAGAGCGGAGAGTTCTATTTAAATTAGAGCATCAAAAAGCTCGACAGGAACAACTGTGGGATGTTCAGATAATTTTACTGGATGATTTTATCACAGAAGCTCAAGAAGCTGCCATTATTATGCCATTATGTAGCATAAAGCATTACGTGCAACATCCTGCTCGTATTGAAGAGATTACATGGCACAAAGATATTTACATGACATCCAATTATATTAAAAGCATCATTCGGGAGAAGGAAGGTACTCTGGATAATTATTTGCGTCCTGTTGATGTTGTTTTAATCCACCGTTCTCCCGATAAAAGTGAGGCCTTGTTGCTATCAGGTCGAGAAGCATCTCGTATTAAGTCTAGATGTTTTGATAATTTCGGTAACAATTTATTGGTGCACATCAATGATATCAACGGTCACACTCAATGGCCTTCAGATAGTGTTGTAACCAAGCAAGAACAAAAGTTACTCACGATCATAAAATTGTTTGCTGGTGAATGTCACTATGCATCAAAGAGAGAAGTGCAACGCATTGCCAAATTAGTAGGGCGCATCTACCCTCAGTTTTTTAATTGTCTAAATTTAGATAGAACACACTCAGAACAACTCTATGATGTCCTAATTCAAGAAGATTATCTGGACTTTGCTGGTGTTATGACCGAAAACTTTCTAAAAATTTTGCGGTCTGTCAGGAGAGGAGAACCTCTGTTTGAATTTCCAGAAGATATTGAGTTAAATAAAAACTTATCGAAAAAAGTTTTTGCATTATTTCAGGACTTGATAATTCGATCATCCACCTCTTTACAAAGCGGTCATTATGTTCTGTGGCAATGGGTAGGTGCACGCAACAGATTGCGAGAATACCCAGGGTCAGCATTAGAATCAGTGATCAACTCTGAGCACAAGATTAAATTTACTTACTAAAGGCATGGTAAAAATATCAGTTTTGTGTATTTAGAGTACACTCTTCACGATTTCGAGTTCTACAGCCTCATACCTATATCGGCTTTTTAAGTACTCTTCTCTTGGAAGCAGTACAATGACTTTCTGCAATGATATCCCATCAGTTCTTGGGCCCCAGACTGATAATGATTCCAATACTCATGATTGTTTAGCCCTTACACCGTAAGTTTCTTTTTCCTGTCCACTGTGTATCATATTTATTTTTGATGAACTGTCACTCGCATAATATCTCTCAATTTTTAGGAAGGTTAAACTTCCCACTGCAAAATTTAACTTGTAAAAATTAAAAATATCATAGCCAACCAGTTTTTAATGAGTGACGTACAATCTGCAAGCAATTGACTTTTTGAAAATAGTTATTAAACCTTTTGCACTTGTTATTGTCCTTTAATAATTTTTAGTTTTTTAAGAAAGTAAAACATGAAGTGACCTTACTTTTCTGCTGACTACGGGTGCTTCTTATGGTCTGATTGTTTTGAATACCATTACATTTATTGAATTATTTTCATATTTTTCCATGTATTGCATGTTATTTCGTTCATTTGCTCGTTCTTTCCAAGTACAAACATTTTTGAAAAACTACAGTTCTGACAGTTTTTTGTAATTGTACTGAACATGTTCCTGCATTCCTAATACCTTCTATTTATCAATTGCATACAGTGTAGTACCTCTCGGCTTCCTATGAAATTGAAACATTAGTACAGTGCAAATTTCTAATTAAAAAAGCGGAGGGATCGAAAATTTTCCAGAACTCAGATTTTGAATTTTAGAGATTTCTAATAATTTAAAATGGTTCCGAAGATAATTAAGACGAAAAAAAAGAAGAAAAAATTCAAATGAGCTCTTTAATTTGAATTAGGGTTGCCACTTAGCCATTTGCGCCAGCTCGTCAGTTTGAATTCAAAATTATAGGCCTATTTTCATGGGTTATTTATTCGTAGATTTTAATCTACAAATAAATAACCCACGAATCGTGATAATAATAAGAGGAACAACGTATTTCCTTATAAAATCTCCAGTTTTAATGGGAATGGAACAAAGACACACTCTGTTAGTGTGAGATTTTCATAGGGGAAAAATTCAGGCAAAACATTTCAAAAATATAGACATAAAGTCATGAGATTTCAAAGTCGTGAACACTTATTCATTTCAAAAAATCCTTTTGGCCTGTTTAACTTCATCAGAAATCTTGTGGCAATGCATCGGTAATAGGTTCCATTTTACTGTAAAAAATTATCTCCCAAAATTCGAAATAGAGGTTGCAAAAACTCTTCGTACTTCCAGCAATAATTCCATAGATTTAAATGAAGAAAGACAAGCTGTGTAGCGGATGTGCGTTATCGGGTAGAAAATTCTTGCGTAAGGTGAAGTCTCACATATTTCCAGACCTTCTGGGTTGGTAGAATGGGAGGGGGTGGAGTTAGAGGTAGGTTATGCTCTGCTAACACCTTCAAGCGCGGCTGCACTAGTCGTGGCAGGCAGCAGGACACCCCCCCTCCCCCCCTTTCCAACCCTAATTTCTTCTAAACCTCATTTTTAATTTATTGGAATCAGAAAATGCTCGATTTTACCGAATGTTTGCATTTTTTGTCCTATAATGTATCCTAGCTGCATGGTTTGTCTCTCCTTCCCTTTGTAAACCGATTTACTGTTTGGTAAAATTTTGAGGGATTTTTGACACATCGAAATTTTCGAATTTTGGGCTGAAATGTTTTAATCGGAGTCGCTTGACGATGGGTAATGGTAAAACGTAGAATTCAAAAAATGACATGAGCCGCTTCCCAAAGCGCCGGTACCGCAGTTTACCACGACTCCCAGCAACTTTTCTAACTCCCCAGTGATCAAATTGCATACCCAGCGAAATGAAGGAACCGCAATTTAGCGACGCATCCGTATCATTTAAAGCGCTGGTACTGCATTCCACTTCGACCTCACGCAAATATTTCAAGCTCCACCCGAGACAAAACTGCTTATATCCGAGGATATGTACACAATTTTAAGTGATACAGTAATGAGTTGCTTATTGGCAGACAATTAATAATCAAAATTTAAAAGAAAAAAAGGAAACAAGAAAAATTACTTTTCCATTTTCCTGACTTGGAAGATTGAGCGTTTTTGCAGGCAAAGGTCCCCTACGATGTGCAGGCGAGAAGGGCCTCCGTATCTTCTTCTTCAGAGCGGGAGTAGCTGGTGGAGCGTGCGTGCAGCTCGCTCGGACTCCATGATTCTGCTCTGTTCTGCCGTGCTAAGGAAGAACGCCGTATGAACCTTTAGGCGTTGCCAAATTTCCTCCGATAAAACTCGAATTTCCTGGCAAACTCGTGAATATTTTTCTTCCAGTTAATCAGGTAATTTTGCTCGCAATTTCAACGAAAAGTCCTGAGAATTTCAAGGAAAAATGTTCATAACATTCATAAAAAATGAACAATATATCGAGGGAAATTTGGCAACTATCGAATGTTCATACGGCGTTCTTCCTTAGCACGGCAGTGTTGCTCTCTCCTCTCCCCTACTCTTTGCTCATAATGGCGCCAAGCACAAATACTCTTGGAAAAAAAGTATCCACTGCAACCACCCGCTTACAGCAATAGTATCACCCCATTATTTTCAATTCGTCTCCCTGAGGCGAATTTTCGCGAGTGTATTTGGTTAAAGAAATTTTCTGAAAGTAAGATCATCGTCCATGCACAACATTTCGTAACAGTCTCTGCAAATTTCTCGCGAAAAAGTCGAGCATTATGTGACCTCTTGAAAAAATTGTAGGTACCCGGGCGGAAATTTGCGAACTTTCCCTGGTAAAAATTTTCGATAGGAGCTGCGTTTCAAAATATCATAGAAATTCCCATAGCCGGCGATAGAAAGTGGTAGATAATCAATCAAACAGATGGCTACAGAAAGCGAAGAAAATCATACAGCCGGGCTATACGAAGCGATAAAAAATTGAACAGCCGGGCTGTAATTCCTATCGCTTGGCTTTACAGTTCATCGCCTGGTTGAAGCTGTGTCGCCATCGGCTCTCATAGGCTAAAAGAAATCGTACAGCCGACTTTACAACCTATAAGAAATCTTTCAGCCGGCTATTATAGGTCTATGGTATTTTGGAACACAAATCCTAAAGCCAATTTTTACCAAGGTTGCAATAAGAGTTCCGTGGTTCTGGATACAAACTTTTTTCCCTTCTTTGATATGAGGCATCTCCAATCTTGGCCCGAACAAACTATTATCACACATCAGGAAAAATACCGTACAATGTACTAGCCTAAATTAGTTAAGTGCTCGATTTAACTCGAGTTGAGTGTGGTTTTTGGTGAGCAGGATGCGTGAATATACGTAAATTGATGAATTCTTTGATGAAAGAATGTAAGATAAATGAAAATCTAGGAGTAAAATAAGAATTTATACACAAGAACCCTGCAGTCCCCAAAAATAAAATTATCAATACAGGAAATCAATCGGGATCAATAAGAATCGCATTCAACAGAGGGAAAGCTCTCGATCACAATGTTGTAAAAATCGATAACTTTCGTCTTTGATCAGAACAGTAAAGAGTTCTTTTTTATACCAGAAAATGGTTGAATAATTTTAAAGAGAAGCGATTGCGTAGCTTTTATTACTGCACAGTAAAAATCGGTATGTAATGTATCAAGGCCGGATTTACCTTCTTGCCGCCCATGGGCCGCCCGTATTTTGCCGCCCCACTCTCATTCGTTTTGAAACATCGATACATACCATCAAGTGAACGTGCCGGAGGAGGAGGGGTGTGTAAGACGCGTTTACTCGTGTTGGGCACATTTTTTGTGAAAGCCCTCTGTCAACACCAGCCAAAGTTCACAGAACTTAGCGCGAAAGTTAAGTTCCGTAAACCTATCTCTGTGTGGACAAGGCCCTTTATTTATAAGAAATGAACGAAAAAATTGTGAAAGTATAATCATGAATGTGGTTTAGTAATTTTAATTTCCGCCACCGCGCCAATCGCACTGTGTTTGGCGCAATGCGTGAAGTATCCCTACAGTCTCGTAGGCGCTATGCGGTTCACGCCGACCGCTGCTGACCGCACTTTTTTTGACGCAATGCGTGAAGTATTCATGCAGTCTTGTAGGCACCATGAGTTTCACGCCAACCGCTGCTGACCGAACTACGTTTGACGCAATGCGTGAAGTATTCATGGAGTCTTGTAGGCGCTAATATGTGTTCCATGCTGATCGGCGCGGCTCGCCGAGGGCTTCTCATTTTCATGTCAATAGTCCTCGTCATTATTGCTCTCTGCGCCGTACCACTCCAGGCCAAATTGCGTGTTTGGTCTCTCTCTCAACTAGACTAATGAAAAAAGCTGTCTCTTGTATCACCGAAAGACGAACAAATCAGGAATTACCATACTTTAACTCTCAGGAAATGGGAGATTTTTTCGCCTTTTCTCGTTTGTGATTTTTTTTCTGAATCTGATTTTTTTTTTGATACCTACATTTGAAACAATTGCAACATTTGCTGCCATGGGCCGCGGCCCATGTGGCCACCCCCTAAATCCGGCCCTGTAATGTATAATTTAGTACTTCTCCAAAGTAGAGGAGAAGTTGCACGATCTTGAAGCACTGTATAATCGAGTTGGTCCCCTGCTACTGCTTATGCAGTGCATCGAAATGAAGTTGCAACCTTATGCAATAAGCTTGCAATTTTTATACCATGAAATTGCAAGGTTTACATCATTTGGTGAATAATTGCCGATTTTAAACGATTAGCAGAGTGAGTTCTATGAATCAGGAAGATAGGCAATTTGCAGTGCAGCAAAAAACTGCAACTTATTCTCACTCAGGAGGGGAGCCCCTTCGATTAGTAGATAAGCATCGAGCGCAACGCTCCGATGCCGTGTAGGAATAATTAATAGTCGCAATGTATATTGCAACCTGTGCCACTTTGGTACACCATTTTCTCGCTTTTGAATTGAATTTAGAAAGATAAGATGCGACCCATCGTGTTTTACGTAAAATTTCGCCCAGGAATCTATGATAGGGTGCTTCATTTCGTTCTCTGCCTAATCAGAGTTTCCGGTGGCCTGGAATAAACTTGGAAAGTCGGAGAATCCATGGAAAAGCCAGGTAATTTTTAGAAAAAGTCCGGGAATTCTCCGCGTAGTGGTTAGCTGAAAAAAGTAAAAGTAGGTAATTGAAAGAAAAAGTGTGTGAAATTTTTTTTATTAATTTTTTTCGTGAAAGTTTCGTTCGAGAAAAGTCAGGAACTTCGACAATTTTGGAGTTCGTGAGTCGGAAAACGAAGAAATTAAGGAAACCCTGCTGTCAGTTCGTTTTGAAAGGCAACTGGCTTTCAAAAATTCGGGCATTACCGCTCTCTCGCGTACACACTACACTACACAGTTAAAAATTCCCGTGTTACTCGGTGTTACCATGTGTCTCTTATTAATTTTTTCCGTGTCAGATTAACGGAAAGGACTCGGTTTCGCTCAACTCAATTTTATGTTAAAACTACCCAAACCGTAGGTTACTATGAAACCTCGGGGCATGAAGAAAGTGTCCTGCGGAACTTGTGTTCTCTCATTTTTCTCAGAGCACTCAGAGGTTGTTACTTGCGGGTGGCTAACGCATTGGATTATCTACTAAGCTATATCCAGGTTAGATCCTGACGGCTGGCGCCTAACTTTAAGGAAATGTCAGGTTTTCAAAACAAAAATTTGGTATATTTGACACAGAGAAAATTAACTCACAAAAATTACCCAACAGCTCGTGTTTTAATTCCTATATTCACGCAAAATTTTGGTTACTTGTTCTTACTATGTGCACCGCGTCAATGTTGCTCGTAAGAAAAAGTGAGACCCGCCTTTGTCTCAGAGACGGGGCGTAATTGGCTTCGGGAAGAGCGTAAAGCTGATTGATTGATGTTAATTTTAAGGCATTTATTCGTGACCCGATTTATATTCAGCTTACATTAATGTAGATGCAACATCCTTATCTGGGCAAGGTCTCCCCGGCGCAGCGACAACGTCACACGCCGAGTCCGCGACATCGCCACGCCGAACGGCGCAGTGCATTTGTTCGCGACTCCACTGACGTTCTACGGAAGACAGCAGTAAGTCCATTCGAACCTAAACCGCGCTCAGCACGTGCCCTTACGCGCGTCGGAGCTCGCTCCAGCGTGGAGTTACTGCTGTTTTCCATGACGCGACAGTCCAATCATCGCGGACCAGTGAATTGCAACCCCTCTGCATTTCAACCTCCAGCCTCAAATCACTGCAATCGTAGTCGCTCTTAAACGATGCTCCTATCCCTTCCCAGGGTGGCAAAATTTCACGAAAAAGAAAATCGCGAAATATCTCATGAAATTTCACAGTATATTAAGAGATTTTTTCAAATCATGAATTATCAGCTTACGGCAAAGGACTATCGAAACGCCGCCAGAATTTTTCAGAGACAATGTTTTACTGGTTTTTAGAACTCGTATTGCTCGTGCGAGAAAATTAAATTAAAATCAACAGTTACTTGGATGAAACGATTACGGGATTTCTGTAATAAAAGGCTTTTTAGTGTGGGTTTTGTGCCCTGCCCACGAAATGCATGTCTCAATTTTTTTTAAAATTTTGACAGCCACGTGAAATTTCCTGTGATATTTTCACAGAAATTCTCATTCTTTCATGAGTGGATCGCGCTAAGCAGAACGAAGCCAAGCCACATCAGCAGTTGCCAAATTTAGCTGGGCAATTTTATTTTCTACACTGAAAAAAAAGTAGCTTGGATCAAGCATGATAATTCTTGAATTTGCCGCCAAGAATTTTCTTTATCTTGCTTTAAGCTGACTTTTTCTTGATTCAAGAAAAATAATGCTTGGGTTAAGCAAAAAAAGTAGCTTATATTAACCAGCAAAATTCTTGATGTAAGAAGATATACTTCTTGGCGGCAAATTTAAGATTCTTTTTTTCCAGTGTACATGAAAACATTTTTGCGGATTTTTGTGCAAATTTCAGTGATTTTTCTGCATAGTACGAAGAAAATCCCTGGAAATTTTCAAAAATAATCCGCAAAAACATTATCTTGTAAAAAATTAAATTGCCCGGTAAAATTTGGCAATAGCTGATGTGGCTTGGTTCCTCTCTGCTTATCGCGGTCCAAGTTTCTTCTGCTTCATGCTATAGGTATCCTTGGTACCTACCCTGTCCTTCTCAAGAGTCCCATCAGTCTGAAGAACCTAGAGGTATTGAGTCAGTTGTGCTACTCGCAGAATCGTATTTTGATTGTTCAATAAGCATATGAATTGTTAGCAAAAAATAAGATCTGTTCAAACTCCAAACACGGCATTCAAACGTTTAGAACGCTTCGTCCACAGGTCCGGATTTACGTTTTTGTTGCTGGGGGCAACGATAAAATTTCCGCCGTTCCCTATTCGTTGGAGAGACTTTTACCGGAAGTGGGGTGTCCGGCAAATTTTTGTAATCTTTACTGCCCACCGAAGTAACATTAGCCCTTTTCAACCGAAGAATTTCAAAAATCAAGACCTTAATATTCACACGTTTTCCACATATTCGTGCATAATTTTGCTTTTTTATTTTGTGCGTTTTTGAAATCCAAGTATGCACCTGTTGATATTAATCACATGAAACTGAAGCATATGACATGGAACGTTCGCGATCATTGGCGCCTTTTTGTGCATTGAATGATGATTCTACCGCACCGAAATTTCATGCCGCTTTTTGTAGCAACTTTGATGGTCTCCATTCTCCCTTCTTCAAACTCGGAATTTGCCGTTGAGGGCAGCTGCCCCTCCTGCCCCATTGGGGAATCCGAGCCTGATCATCCGCTGTGTTAATGCGTATCATGGATTCTTCCAGTGGCGTGGCGTGCTTTGCGATATATCGATTGATCTGCTATTTAAACCTATGGAAAAGTATCGATAAACAGGGTGTTCGTAGCGAACACCTTAATAATCGATTATTTACCACAGCCTCAAATGGGGAAATATCGATAGATCGAAAAGCACGCCACGCCACTGGATTCTTCCACCTTTATTGTTTCATTAATCAGTGATACACGCATGTGCACTGGTAACTAGACCAAGGTGGCAGAAATCGAGGTTTGCACCGTATTGCGGCAAATGTTGTAAAACGCCACGTATTCCGAATGATGATATCTCCGTCAATATTAGACGTAGTACGGAGGGTTACCACAGTCAGGAAAAACCGGGGAATGTCAGGGAAAATGATAATAATGTCAGGGGAAAATCTTAAAGTAGCTATTCTTTGCTTCTAAGATCGAGTCCAAAATTTCGAACAACTAATGTTGCGTGTTCAGGTTTAGAAGGGGCGATTTTGCGAACAAATTTACGCGTCGTCGTTTGTCAAACTGAACTTTCGGTTCGTGTAATCGAACTTTCGGTTCAAATGACCAACTTTGTTCGTCAGTTCATTTTACCGTTGAAGTTCGATTACACGAACCGAAAATCTGGTTTGACGAACCGAATTAGTTGGGATGATATGGAACACCGAACTTTGGTTCATATGACCGAATTTTTTTTTTCAGTGATGAGATTAGAAGAGCCTTCAAGCTAGTTTTTTTTAAAAAAAAAAAAAAAAAAAAAAAAAAAAAAAAAAAAAAAAAAAAAAAAAAAAAAAAAAAAAAATATTAGAGGACTCCATAAACGTGAGCTGTGTTTTTACACCGTTTTCATGCGATATTAAGATGAAATAGGTGTATGTTTTTGCATACCGCACTAACAGGTGACCACTTGACGGATTGAGGCGCATCAATGAACCGCGGACTCCTCCGCTCTGACCCCTGACACCACACGCGCTACGATTGAAGTGGTTAATCGCCATCGTTGCCAAGTCTCCTCGAAATCCACTCGCGCTTTTGCAGGGCGTCTTTAAACAGGTGTCATTAGATAGGAAATGTGCAGGTGAAGCCAAAGTTTCAATGAATTGCGATTGAATGGCCAAAGTTTTCCTAGAGTCCCTCTATACTGAGAGTCAAGACAACACCCCCTCATGGAGTCACAAACGGGAATGAAGATAACACAAATTAGCAGTTTTTTGTAATCTTTGATCGGCTCTTACTCAAATTCTTTTCTCCGTTTCCTTCTCTCATTCCGTTTATTCCTTGCCAAACCCGTTATTCCCCGGTCCATTTTACATTATAATCTTTGCAATCGGTGAAAATGTAATCCTTATTCTCGTTTGACATTGTGGAGGCGTAAAATACGGGAACCAATCAGAAATGGATTCTTATTGTCTTGACTCTCAGTATAAAGGGACTCTAAGTTTTCCTTCTGCATTGGAGTGTATGTGTTATGCATGTTGCCTATCTGCCATGCGAAGGGGCTCTTCTTATTGAATTTTATTTCAGTACACAGTTAGATACATCGGACTGGAATCCGGAGTGAAATACGCACCAAATTTCACTCCAATATTCCCAACAGAGTAAAATTGAAATAAGTAACAACTTTCCTCTGGATTACATATTGGAGGAATTGCTTGATTAAATTTTCCTTTTCGTCACTTTTCATAAAACTTAACTTGTGATCGCCGAAGGGATTAGGGACCTCAGATCTCAGAGGGAAAATTCTTCTATAGTTTGAGTTGTGGTCGAAAAATCAAATTTTGAGATCTAAGATTGAAAAAAACTCTTTTCAATGGCCAAAGAATGTTTGCGAGCACTTCAGCCAATGTTTATCTCAAGAGAGGACTATTGGTTGCACTCTGATGCAGCTATTTCGTGCCCTTAAAATGGCAGATCAGAATTATTGTTTTGAACTTCTTTTTCTAAAAACTATGGATTTCTACACGCTAACTTTAAACCATCATGACTCCACTATCATGTGACATTTTTAAGTATTTTTAGGTTTTAAAAAAAAAAAAAAAAAAAAAAAAAAAAAAAAAAAAACTCCTTTGCTCTATTATCAATTATTCAATTTTGAATTTCCATAGACAGTGGTCCATTTTCCGGTGGACGGCCACATTTTTGTACTCACCGCTCTTTTCGCCTCGGTGACGCAGGAGTTTCGCATGAACACGGCGTTTGGAACGGGGCGGTTGGCTGGAGTTCCTACGGCCCCTGCGGCCCTGCGGGACGACAATCAGGCAATCAGGCCGTTTCTGAATGTCCGCGGGCACTCAGTGTTACTGTCCTGTCCCTGCGATTACACCTCAGTCGCCTCGAACACGTCGTGACGCAGAGTGACGGGTCCAGGGACCACTAAAACGGGAGACCGCTCGAACGAAGGTCCGCTCAGTCCTATCCTCACTCAAACTCAAAGTGTCCAACCAATTTACCTAACAAAGAAAAATCAACATTCCCTCTAGTGTTGATTAAAAAAAAATCGTTTCGAATAATCTTGACACCCCCGGATTCATGCTCTAACATATATGCAAAAGAAAAAAATATTAGGGTTGATTCCTCCCCACTTCGTCTCGTAAAATTTGAGTCTGTGGAAAAAAACAATTTTAATGTTCGCACTGTCCGTCTAACTTCGAGTGGTAACCTCACCACAGAAAGTTTACGTAGATACAAATTTCACGAGCTTTCGAGCCTGGATTTTTTTTTAAGTTTAAACTTTCATTAACTTTATGGTATTGTGAAAATAGTTTTAAAGCTTAACGTTTCAAATCACATTGTTGAGTGCGCAAGGTGTTCGCGTATTGTAAAGTCGCGTAAAGTTGGTGATGTAATCTAGACATGGACGATAGTGAAATCTGATCGTAAAAAATCTCGTTCCAGTTCGTAATATAATGTGATCAGTGCTTGTTACTTTCACGTATTTCCAGAAAATTAAATTGGATAGATGGATTCTTTACTGACGGAATCGCGAACCTTTACACTCCGGTGCAAGACTGCAAGGATACATACAGTTTCATCTCTGCTCTTTTGAAGTTCCGCCAGAAAGGAAGATATGTACACGTTCCTGGCTGTCTTTCTCTTGGTCTCATTATTCCAAGGATATGCATTTGAAGGTAGGTAAATTTCTGTTAAGTACTGTCAGGTAATAGACCAATAGACCGGATAAAAATTACAGCCTTGTACGATTATGCTTTCTAATCAAATTTCGCGAGGAACGCGTTTAAGATATTTTAAAAGTCTAAAACCAACGTCCTAATGGGAAACTAGTGTTAATAGTTCCTTTTAAAATCTGTGAATTCTAACTTTCCGTGTGCACAAGAACCAAAATCAACGCAGGTCAAATCAGGCATTGCAAACTGACTACATACTTTGCAAATACATTCATTTAGAAAATTCGGCGTGTTTTTTCCCCCTTTAAAATCTTTCATCCTCCTTTGTTACGCTTGACTTCTGAAACTGTCGAGAAAAATTAGCGCACTGAATTTATCATTTTCCTGCAGAACACAGAAATTATTATGGAACGACCAACGTGACACAATGTAAATTTTAGTTTTTTGGCTATACCTAGCGGTAAGTCTGAGTCAACAATCACAGAATGCTAATATCTCTCTTATGGGTTATGTTTGCAAATTTTTTATGTTTCCACCAGATTCTACGAAAAATCCTGATGAGAAAACATTGACTATGGTGCTTAATTTCTTACCCTGTTTAGTGATCCATTTGATTAAAATGTTAGGTTTGTCCAATGTAATCTTCTGTGATAATATTTCAGTAAAGAGAACGCGAATAGATCCCGAAGTTAAGAATCGAATTTTGACGGAAAAGTCGGATAGAGGATTTCAAAGGGACAATAATAAAGTTCGCTTCGTCGGGAGATGAAAGTCACTTAGTGATTTGAATAAACCTGCGCAGTGTGAATAATATTCATAGTCGTTCCTTGAACGTTAAGGTCTCCTCAGAGGACAACACTGGTTAAGGAGGCCTCAAAGTTTAAGGAACGATCATGAGTATGAACCCTCTATAGGCCGAGCGCAACCTCATTGATATAAAACGCCTGGATACAACTATTCGTGTCCATAGGATGTCCGTGTTGCATAAGCAAAAACCTGAAGGCGTTTTGGGTTCCTTGGCCCTGGCAGTCATTCGGCGTGCAGCGCCCGCCGGTTTCCTGCCTATAGCTGTAGAAAGGGTTCGACCAGTCCTGAATTGTACTTTAGATGCCTGGAGAATCCACGGAACTTTGTCGTGAAATAAACTGTCAGGATTGCAGATACTTGGTATAAGATGTGCAACTTCATAAATTGGCCGATTTATGTCGAGAAGAACTTTGCGCATGTGAGTTAAATTAAAAGGAACTATCCTAACACAGGCATTGCATTCTTAGAGCTATGAAATCTACAGGATAGTCTTTACGTTTCGTCAGTATTTCTTTTAGAGTGGAAACAGTGGTAGCTCAAGTTCATATCAAATGGTGTATTTAGTCTTAGACTGAGACGGGTAATTGCCCCTCTCGATTCTTCCATTTGCTTTCAATGTTATTATACAGCCCTGGTAAAAATTAGCGATAAGAGCTGCGTTTCAAAATACCATAGGAATTTTTATAGCCGGCTAAAGAAAGCTACAGAAAATCATATAGGTGGCTGTAGAATGCAGAGAAAATCATTCGGCCGGGCTATACGAAGCGATAAAAAATTATGCAGCCGCGTTATAGTTCCTGTCGCCGGGCTTTACACTTTATCGCTTGGCTGTTACTTTTTCGCCATCGATTATAAAAGGCTATAAGAAGTTGAGTAGAAATTCGCGTGCTTCGGAAATCATTAACTTAGATACGGAAACACCTTAATATTTACAAAACACACATTATATTTTCCTTTAATACATATTTTTTTCATCAATTAAAATGAGAATAATCCATACAGGATGTGCAAACATTTCAAAATCATGAGTTGAATAACGCTGACTCCGCCAGATTAAATATTAGAGCCTAACACAAAGCGGAGCGGCGACGCACTGGCGCCTACAAACCTAACGGGGATACTTCACGCATTGCGCAACGCGTGAAGTATCCCTGTTAGGTTTGTAGGCGCCCATGCGCGTTCCGCGCTGGCTGCCCGCCTGCCGCGCCGCAGTGTGCCACGGCGCTTGAAGCAACTATTTCACACCAGCCAGAGGTATTGTGCAGTATCATACGAGACTGAAGGCGCTCTAATATATTAGGAATGGCAGGCATCCATCAAAAGTACGGAGCTTTACTTGCAAAATAAATCTAGATACTACGGCTCAAAAGAGAGCATAGTAGTCCAAAAACTCACTAAGTACTAGCATCCATAATTAGTAACGTTTAGCACACACTTTATCGCCTGGCTGTTGCTTAATCGCGATCGGCTATAAGAAATTGTGTAGCCGGCTATAGAAGCTATTGGAAATCTTACAGCCGGCTGTAGGTCTATGGTATTTTGGAACACAGATTCTACTGCCAATTTTTACCAGGGAGATTACAGATATCACCTTCTGTCAACTTTTGAAGGGTATCAGCTGCTTCCATTTTTAGGATTACAGATAATGAAAGAAAGAGGTGATGTAGAAGTTAAAGGAAATAAAATGAAATAAGTTGCAGGATTATATCAGCATAGCATTGACATCGATTCTATTTTTAAAAATGAGGGTCAGTTGAAGGACAATTCGACACTGTTTTTTTTTTTTTTTTTTTTTTCACCAAAATTTGGAAAGTAAATGTATACCCACGCGGGTGATGTGTTGACGTCCACTTTAAACCTCCCTTAATCACGTGTAAATCGTACAAGGGGCCTCCGTAAGGAAAGAGACTGTTCAATGAATGACTTTAAGTGTGGCCCTAAAAGTTATGGAAAGGAGGCCCAAAGGCTTTATGCTTCACCTCGGGTGGTCTTTGGAATGGGCTGCCGTGTGCTCAAGAATGAGGCGGAGGCGATGTCAAACTAACAAACGTCAATTAGTTCATAGCTAATTATTGAGGCAAAATGCTATGAAGATCACTCAAGACAACGCGCCGTGGGCCCGCCGCACCACTCTCAAGACAGCTTCAATTATCACGTCCGATGCTACGTCCTGAACATGATTGAATTCTGTAGCCTCACGAGGTTGCTTGACAAAGAATGCACCACTAAACAGGGCACGTAATGAAGAACCGCAAAAAACCGCCATGTTGGTATTATGTTGCATAGAGAAAAAAAAGGAGTTGTTTGCATTTCGGGCATCTTGGAATTTTTTTGATGACGTAGGTCGGTACAGCGACGTTCATCACCGATTTTCTTGGAAATGGTGTAATTTATGGAAAAAAGTCATTCCCTAAAAAGTGCTTGAAATTATATCATGAGTTGATTTAAGCAAAAAAATGGGACATTACGGTCTGTTTTTCATACTTTGAATTCCAGATTTCGCTGGCCAAGTTGTACCGACCTACGTCATAGGGTAAACAAACCTCAAGATGCAAACACCTCCTTTTTTTTCTCTATGATTATGTTGAGATCATATTGTTACCGAGATGGTCCTTTTTGGAGCACGTCAATGTCAACATGGTGTCAATTTGGTCAGGGAGACCACTGTGATATTGGTATGTCATCGTGTTGGTCCCATCGGGGTATCATACTCGTCTCAACATGGTGCCGCGCCTAGGTAACATGTTGGTGTCAACAAACACCGTCGAAACGTCAAAAACCTCTGTCTTCGACACAAAAGTAGAGTCCACGCCAAATAAAAGTTTACACACGTTAGACTGCGACGGAAGATCGTGTGACGCGACGTTAGTTTAGTTTAGTTAGTAAAGTAAATGCTAGAATCAAGCTGGCAGATCTTTTGTCGCCGTCTATAAGCGTGTAAAATTATTTGGCGTGCATCCGAAATAATTTCACGGAAATGTGGATCCTGAGAAAATAGAATTAAGGATTTCCATACACGTCAATAAAAGCGGAAGTCTATTGAGCCAAATATAAAAAAATAAATGTGTCAATTTGTCCTCTAACCAGCCTTCACTTTTAAAATTATCTTTTTTTCATTAAAATCCTGATAAGATTGTGCAATTTCTCTCGTTTTACTTTTTTTAACTTATATAATTTTTTCCTCTCATCATCTTTAGTCCCAAAAATCCAAGCTGTTCACGAACTTTAAAAGATGACAGAAGATCTGCAATATTTGTTTTCACATCGAGAGTAATTAGAGGAATTAAGAGGGGAAGTTACCGGTCTCACTCTAAAATCGGTTACCTGATTTGATATGAGCTTTACCTACGACTGTTTTCACTCCAAAAGAAATCTTGAATGAACAAAAAACTACCGTGTAAATTTTAGAGCTACGAGGCACACAAAACCTGTTAAATAAAGTTCCCTTTAATTTAACTTAATAACGCTAAGTTCTTTTTAACATGAACACGGTCAATCAAAGAAGCTGCCCATCTTACCAAGTATCTGCAATGCTGGCATTTCATTTTATGACAAAATGTCTTTTGACTGGATTTGAAAACCAAGATTGTTAGGTATCCGCTTGAATGTTGCAAGACCCACTTCCAAAATTTTGGCCAAAATATTTGTGCTGGAAGGCGAATATTTAGTAATTGCTTGAATATTTTGGTAGGTATCTAAAGTGAAATTGAAGATTAGTCAAACCCTTCCTCAAGCTAAAACCAAGAAACCAGCGAGTGCGCGGATGCAGCAATAGTTGCGAGGGTCAAGCCATTCAAAACGCCTTCAATTTTTCGCTTATGTAACACGGGCATCCTGAGAGCACGAATAGTTGTATCCAGGCGTTTTATATCAATAACGTCGCTCTTTACATGTGTAGCAGGGCAATTCTACGAAAAGCGTTCAATGGGCCTGTTGTAAACTTTTGCTTAGAGCAAAAATAAGAGTTGTTGTTGACTGCTGTGCGATCATATTTTGATGTAAGCACTTCTTTCAACGAAGTATGGAACGTTTTGTAGCGAGTTTGACAGTCCCAGAGTGCCCCTAGCGGCCGTTTTGACGAACAAAAACATCTGTGACGGTTGTGACCTCGAAACTTCATGACAGCACATTTTCGAAATATTTCGATTGGAAAACGCATTTTTACTTTCTCGTTTTAATTTCTTAGTAATTGCTGTACAAACAAAAACATTGCTTATTCAACTGCAAGTATTTTTAATGCAATAAGTCCAATTATTGGAACAATTGATCAAACTAAAATAAGTTATGAGGCCGTAAACACTGCAACCTACTGATCATAACAGTGAAGTTTGTGACATTTTAAACAGTAAAAGCTGAATGTGACGTTTTATGCATCGACTTACACAATTTGAACTGTCAGCATTCCTTAAAAACACTTATTTTCCATATTAGGTGAGATGTTAGATTTTTCATCACACATTTTAAAAATAAAACGTTGATGGTTAAAATGGGCCTGTTGCGAACTTTTGCTAGAGCAAAAATAAGAGTTGTTGTTATCAGTAACTGTCTCAAAAATCACGAATCAGGATCCCTGATAAAAATAGGTTCCCGTATTACATTTTTAAGCCTGATACCACACTTGTTTAGGAAAACAAACTCTCGATCCAAAATAATAAAGTTGAATTTTTAGTTTTTTGAAGGTCAAATTGTATAGTTTTCGTAGAATTGCCCATACCCCAGCCCCATGTGCGTTTCACGCCGACCAGCGATCGCACTGTGTTTGGCGCGATGCGTGAAGTATTCATGCACTCTTGTAGGCGCTAATATGCGACTCGCGCTGACCAGCGACCGCACTGTGTTTGGCGCATTGCGTGAAGTATTCCTGCAGTCTTGTAGGCGCTCATATGCGAAGAATGTCGGAGGAGAGGTTGCTCAAGCGAGTTTTGGGTTGGATACATACCACCTCAAAAAAGGCGACGGGGACGTCCCATTAAGGGCTGACGGCCGAACATTGACGAAGAGATGTTGCGTATTCAGTTGCCCGATAACCTTTGGGAAGATAGACACGTGTGGCGTTTGGATGTCCCAGAACACCAGAATGCGTTGTGGGAGCGGCTTCGTATGTATGTGTATGTCGCAGGCATTTAGTCAAATCAGGCATTGTATCAAATGACTAGGCAGATAGTCACATTTTGAAAGCTTAAAATATTTTGCAAATGTATTACGAAAAGCTCTCGAGTTTTCAATATTTTTGAAAAATGACTCATCAAATCTACAAACTCTTCTCGTTCCTTCCCTCTTAAATGCTTCTCATATATTTAAAGTTTAAAATTTTAAAAATTCTGTATTTTATGACGTATACCGAAAATTTCAAGATGAAAATGGGCGTTCAGGAGCTAAAACTCGTTTGAAATACCATTGCATGATGCTATTTTTACCGAGAATCATTTACTTCAGGAGAAATGAATTATTTTTCATAAAACTATTGGCCTAGGCATTTGACAAAATGTCTGATTTGACTATTTTCCTGCGACATGTCCGTATAAATATCAAGCCGCTACCCCCCCCCCCCCCCNCCCTAATATAGTTGCTGATCGTCGTATCAGATCCACTATTATTCAAATAATTCCAATGAAAATGGAGATGTTGCATGTGTGAGGAATTTGCGATTTGACTGTTCATTCTTATGTAAAAGTTCGCGAAAAACGCGATGGTGCCACTGGTTTTCTCTAAAATCAACTCCCAAGCTCAAAAAAGCTCTCAAGTTAAGGCCAAAATGGAGGGGATATCCAACTCTACCCTAACAAACTCTCCATGCAAGGATAGGGAGCAAATACATTAGCAGGGCTGCCACTTTATTTGGGGACTCAGAAACTGAAAACACGGCAACCCTGCTAATGTATTTGCTCCCTATCTTCGCATGGAGAGTTTGTTTTGTTGTAGAGGTGGATTCTCAGGATAGCGTGGGATTGGGATATCCCCTCCATTTTGGCCTCAACCTGAGAGCTTTTTTTTAGCTTGGAAGTTGATCTCAGAGGAAACCAGTGGCACCATCGTGTTTCTCGCGAACTTTTACACAAGAATCAACAGTTAAATCGCAAATTCCTCACACATGCAACAACTCCATTCCAATGAAAATTGTGTTTAGTTTCGTATGCGCAGAGCTCATCCCCTGGATTTTGCAAATAATTTAGCCTCGATGACGTAACCCTGCTCATACTTAGCAATGGATTGTTTGTGTTTGCAGCCTCGCCAGTGGTGCTGCAGAGCGACGGGGAGGAGGAGAAGGCGATCTACCTGACGGCGTCGGTGGGGGAGTCCGTGGTGCTCGACTGCCCCCTCGACTTCCCGCACGATGTCCCCATTCCGTACATTCTCCACTGGAACAAAGAGGTAACTCAATACCTTCACTCTTAAATGCGCCTCCAATGGGGGTCGGCAGTTTTCATCCGTCGCACGTGTTAATGGCATTCACGTCCATTCAATTGCAAATTATCCTCCAATTATGTCCGTGCCGCGCTGTCCATCGCATCCGATCTGCGCTTTTACTGCAAACCTATAAATTAGACGCATTTAATCAGAATCAGTGTTCGAAACTCGCGGGCGCCAACGCGCCAAATGCGCCTAAAAAATCGGCCATGGCGCCTAAAAAATGAAGGCTCTGCGCCAACGTGACCCCTAAAAATCTGGATTTTCACAGGAATTCACGTAAAGAAAGAAGAACAAATATATTTGAATTGAAAAAACTCAGAATTTTCAGCACTACAAGTGAAAGCTTGCTTTTTCTGTTCTTCACGATTTCATTCTTGGTGCTTTTGTCCTCCCCAAGTTACAGCTACCTACTAGTTCTGTTACGAAAACATCTTGCGTCCAACTTTTCACTAATGCGCCGTAATATATGGGCAAAAAGTCAATTTGGCCCCTAAAAAATCGTCAATGGCGCCTAAAAATCGGACTTGATGCGCCACATGGCTCCTAAAACTCAAAGGTGAGTTTCGAACACTAAACCTGACTCCATTTCGTGTTGCCTAATTTCTCGCTATATGTTTCATTTCTTTTGAAAATTATTCAAAGAACACAACCCCTTGAAACTCCCTGTGAGTTTCCGCAATTTATGTGTGTTGGCTTGGGTAAAGCGGTTTCATTTTGCTTCGCTAAGGGTTTTGACCTTATCAAATCGGATTAGATATCAGGTCTCCTGTTCACTGCCGTTTCCAACGGTATCAAGAAAGTCGACAGAAAGTTTACAATATCACCTGCCGTGCTAGGTGACAGCACCTAAAGAGTTTTATTGAATTTCACTAAAAAATTTTTACTACGTCGCCTACACATTTTCGGTGAAATAATCTCACCTGCTTCACAAGTTACCGAAATAAAAGTCAGATGAAAAGTTAGGCTAAGTGGTCAGTTTTACCTAGGAAAAGTGGAAAAGTTCATTTTCCTCCCCTTTCTTTCTCTTATTTGTCCTCTTTGTATCCGACTTCCAATGCGGCCCCATTTGAAACGCATTGGGAGTATGTAACCATCCCAAGGATGTGTTTTTTCAAAACTCCCATTTATTTATGACCCAATGGCGTAATTCCACCCAATTGAACGTAATTGGACTGTATCTCGCAATTAAAGAACTGCTTTCTCTGGCTCATTTCTTAAAAGCACCTATCTGCTTAGGGAAACTAAGTGCTCATGCGTTGTTTCTACTATAAACCAACAATATTTTCCTATTGCACAATGTAGTCAAATCATGCTTAACGTGCAATTGAATTTAATCAAAAGGAGGCAAATGGACAAAGTTTTTTACGTAGGATTTGCGTGCCCTATAGATTCTTCTGATGACTTCATTCATCTGCAAATGAGGACTTATCTGTAACATTAGCGGATGTGAAAAATTACCTTTTCGAAACACGCTTAAAAAACTGTTTTGTTCACACAAAAATTTAATTTGTTTGGCTCTGGCATAATGTACAGATCTCGAAGATCACATCTCAATTATTTTCTCAAAATTTTCTCGATGCCAAAACAGTTTTTTGAATGTGTTTCGAAAAGGTAATTTTTCACATCCGCTATTGTTACCGACAAGTCCTCAAATAGTTCTTTAGCATAAAAACGTCCATTTATGGGAGGCCTCGGATCTACGTAAGACCCCGGTCCCGAGTTGGTGTAACAAGGGTTAAAGCACTCCAGTTTTTGTTTATGAAAACAACCGGTTGTAATCGGGAAGGGATTAAGCCATTCAGCGATTCAACGTCCCACTCCAGGCGCGTCTCGAACGTCATCTTAGACGCTGCGGCGCGGCGGTCGACTTAACGACGATGACAAAATTAGCCACCGCGGATGGTGGCAAGTCGCGTATAACCGAGGCGCAGTCGGCGACCGAAGCGCGGGTTAGCACGGGCTGGGAACGGGAGTTGTCGTGGGCGGAGGGGGCGGCAAATGAATCTGTGGAGCATGGGTCGGGGCCAGTTGCGGCCGGAGCAATTGAAAACGGGTGCAAGTGTTAATGGAGCACGCTCGTTACTCGCCAGCGATTTGAGCGCCGCCACCGCGCCACCGATTTGCGAGCCGGATTACGCGCCGGCCTCGGCTCCGGAGGGATACCGTTCGGAGAGCGTCAACCCCAGTCGGATGAAGATGCATGTAGGAAGCCTGTGCATAGCTCAGCGGGCCGCTTATTAAAATCGATAGACAAAGCTATAGACCAAAGAGACGGAGAGACCCTATAGGTGGAAGCGGGTGGTTGCAATGGACAAAGGAGGTAAGTATAGACTAACTAACGGCAACTCACGAGAGACCCGACAGTGAGTCTATCATTTTCTCCCTTCGGCTATACGAACCACTCATTTCAACCAATAGGATAGCTCCATACTCCCTATGTCTTCTTTGTCTATAGCTTTGTCCATCAATTTCAATAATCAGTCCACATGAGGATGCATTCAAAATTGGAGGAAAAAAGAAACGGAAAAGGAGAGGAAGAAACAGAGAAAGAAAGGAGGAGAGAAAGGAAGGAGGAGAGGAAGAAGAAGTAGAAGAAGGATGAAAAGGAGAAGGAGAAGAAAGAAAAGGAGGAGAAGGAGGAGAAGAAGAAAAAAGAGAGAAAGAAGAAGAACAAGAATAAGGAAGAGAGGCAGAAAAGGAAGCAGAGGAAGAGAATGAAGAGGATGAACAGAGAGAGTAAGAGGAGGATGGAAAGGGCGAAAAAGATAAAAAAGGAAGGATAAGGAGGAGGATAGAAAGAGGAAGAAAAACAAGAAGAATAAGACGACACAGGAGAGGATGAAGAAGAAGAGGAGGAAGGAAAAGCTAAAGAAGAAGAGAAAGCAAGAAAAGAAGAAGGAAAAAATTAAAGGAGATTGTAGTAGTAGTATTAGAAGAGATGGAGACGAAGAAAGAAAAGGAGAAGGAGAAAAAGAAGAGGAAAGAGAAAGAAGTGAAGAAGGAGAGGTTTGAGAAAAAGGGGAAGAAGATATATGAGAAGGGGGAAGTAAAAGAGGACGTGTTCAAATGTCCCTGCGATAATCGATGTTAGATTCTGCTAGTAATTGGACTATATTTTGCAATGGACCGATATAGATAATCGACAAATTTGAGCATTCTGATACATGTTCCTCGACCAAAATTGTACGTGGGACACAATTCGCGTGACGAAAATTACTAAAATCAACTCTTAACTGAAATATTAACGTTTTTCAATGCATAAGTTCAAACTTCTCACTCATAGAAAAAAGTGATCTACTTGCGTTAAATCACACACTAGACGTTACCGTGACAGTCTCTGCAACATGAAAATATGGCAACCTCAAACTCGGCGCTTCGGCTCAGCTATTGCACATATGAATTTTGAACAACACAGGGTGGGGAGGGAACATTACTTATTGAGAAGCCTGTCAAGACTGTTGTAGCGCGCGATTTGATTCACAAAGGGTATTGTTTTTCTTGTGAACGGGCAATTCAAATTTCCTCTAACAAATGTAAAATAAAAACGTTAATCTCTTAGTTAGGAGTTGATTTGAGTAATTTTCGTTGCAGAAATCATGTTCCACGTCCAATTCTGAGTAAGAGGCATGTATCAGAATACTTAGATTTGTACGTAATCTTCCGGTAAATTCCAATTAATAAGCCAATCAATTTGAATCTCCCGCGAAAAAAGTCCGTCAATTTGAATTTCCCGCGAAAATGTGAGTCTTCTACTGACCAATTGTATCATAGTCTACCAACCAATCACGATATTTCCCGCTGAATTGTAAATATTCTGCTAGCCAGATGTACCACAGTCAACTAATCGATCACGATTGAGTTTTTTTCTTTTTTTCATCACTTTGTTCACCTTTTACAGTGAAGGTTAGAAAAAACAAATCGGTATTTGTGCTCAAATTCTTTTTCCCTCTAGACTTTCTTGGAAATCTGATCATACTAACCTATTGTACAACATTGAGAGTATTTTACAAATTCGTAGCTTATCTTTGTGGAGGGGGAAAAAGTAGTTATATCATGGTAACAGTTAGTAACATCTCGTGGTAACAGGTAGTTTCCCTATGCAGATAGGTGTTTTTACTATGAGCCAGAAATTGTAGTTTTAAATTGCTAAACTTGGACCAATTGCTTTTATGATGAGACCTTTTGGTCCAATTCCGCTGAAAAAATACCCTCTCTAAACATTGATCACTATTTTTCTTCCCCCCTCTTCTTCTTCTTCTTCTTCTTCTTCTTCTTCTTCTTCTTCTTCCTCCTTTTTGACGATACAGCTGCAACGCAGTGGGCACGGCGCAGCGGTGGGTAACAGATCAGAATTGAACAGAGTTGTCTCCAAGATGAAGCTGAGTGCTGCAAGTGACATTTGGCATAAGATGAGTGTATTAAGATGCCAAGTCTCTCGTAAAAACAATCATTTGTACTCTCAAAACAGCCGTCTTTGAGCAATAAGAGCGTGCAGAGAACAGTACCTAATAGTCGCTTGTAGCATTATCGCGATGTTCATTTGGTTTAAGGTATCATTTACGGATTAGGATAATTATTTTGGTGTGAATATTTGGTGGATAGGTGTGAATTTTTGCGCCCTATTGGATGATGTTCATGTTACCGGCAAACCTAGGTTTACCAAACGCCACTTCAGGCTAATCCGAAAAATAAATTTTGAAAATTGGAACGTCTTGAGAGCAATTTAAAGTCATTCTCAATGACAAATTAAATGGAATTAAATATTAAATTTTGCTGACTTGTTTTTAAAAATATCATTTCTTACTGTGGGTTTTAATTGATTTTATCTTAACTCTCACGAAAACAAGTATTGCGCTAAAATGCGCGAAAAACCACAACCGGATACAGTCAAACTACATTCCACGTTCCTTACTCGGAGGAAGCTGCTCTCTTTGCGAGTAATTTTCATTTTTCTGACATCATTGATCGATTATATTAGGATTAAGCTCATAATTATTACATTCCATATGCCTTTTACCACAAAGTTAATAGTAGCTTGGGTCCTTGACATTTTTTGGAAGGGGTCGAGCAGCATTGTGGGGGGTGGGGCGCCCCCCTATTTCCGCCCATGTTTATTTTAGGTAAGATAGCTGTCGGTACTGTCTTCTACATGATTTCAACGAGATGGGGAAAATTTCAAGGAAACCCCGCTTTTGAAAATTCGGTGTTATTGGTCTCATCGGCAGAAATATTTTGTCTCAGCACTCGACAGTATTGCATCAATGAAGCTACGTCAAGTGTTGAGAGACTGCTTGCAGGCAAAAGGTCATAAAAAAGAGCAAAGTGGACGTCGTGCAGAGAGACAGAGACAGGCATAGAGGAGATACGGAGGAGCGAAAGAGTGAGAGAGTGTCCAGGGGCCAATGGGGGGGGGGCCTAGGGGCNAAGCTACGTCAAGTGTTGAGAGACTGCTTGCAGGCAAAAGGTCATAAAAAAGAGCAAAGTGGACGTCGTGCAGAGAGACAGAGACAGGCATAGAGGAGATACGGAGGAGCGAAAGAGTGAGAGAGTGTCCAGGGGCCAATGGGGGGGGGGCCTAGGGGCGGGGGGGAGTCAGGAAGCGCGCGGGCGTCCCGAACAATTCACTTGATTACGTTGATTGCGACGCGCGGCTCCTGGGCAGCCCCCGGTGACGTAGCTTTTTCAGCCGCTCCTTCTCCCCTACATCAACAATGCGAGTTCCGCCTCGGGACTGGGTCAAAATTTCATATATTTGCACTAACATGTAGGCTTGGAAACGTGACCCTTTCCATACAGTGTTCGAAACTCACTTTTGAGTTTTAGGAGCCATGTGGCGCATCAAGCCCGATTTTTAGGCGCCATTGAAGATTTTTTAGGGGCCAAATCATAGAGTACATAGAGTCGTAATGTAAGTGGGAGAGCTGGCGCCACTTTTAAGCATTTTCCATGTCCCGATTTCCGAGACTCCTGTGTGACGCCGGGTCACTTTTGCGATACATAATCGATTGTTTGCGATACACGGGTACCCGGCCATCCGATGACAACAACAACAACAACAACAACAACAACAACAACAAAGGAGATAGGAATTACCACGTATTCCATACCGCCATTTTGGATCGAAAATGTATCGAAAATGCGACCCGAACTCGGCGCACACCGGGCTCGGAATTCGTCGAGCAGAACATGGCGCCAGCTCTCCCATTTACATTACGACTCTATGTACACTATGGGCCAAATTGACGTTTTGCCTATATATTACGGCGTATTTAGTGAAAATATAGACGCAAGATGTTTTCGTAACAGAACTAGTGAGTAGTTGTAACTTTGGGAAGACTAAACCACAAATGATGAAATCGTGAAGAGTAGAAAAAGCTTTCACTTGTGGTGCGGAAAATTTCGAATAATAACCTAATATGAAAGTTCAGAATTTTAGGGGCCACGCTGCCGCAGAGCCTCCATTTTTTAGGCGCCATGGCCGATTTTTTAGGCGCACTTGGCACGTCGGCACCTGTGAGTTTCGAACACGGCTTTCCAACGATGACAGCCTTTGTAGCAGTGTTCGAAACTCCCATGCGCCAACGCGCCAAATGCACCCAAGAAATCGGTCATGGCGTCTAGAAAAAGAAGGCTCTGCGCCAACGTGGCCCCTAAAAATTGCCCCTCCCCCCTCCCAAAAATCTTAATTTTTCTGTTTGGTGATTTTTCGAAATTTCCCCCATGTAACGGTTACTAGTTCTATAATTAAAACATCTCGCGTCTAACTTTTCACTTAATACGCCGTGGCATGTAGGCAAAAAGTCAATTTGGCCCCTAAAAAATTTTCAATGGCCCCTAAAAATCGAGCTTGATGCGCCGCGTGGCTCCTGAAATGCAAAGGTGAATTTCGAACACTGCTTTGTAGGGAGAGTGTGGACACTGGCTGCGGGCTGATTATTAAACTTGTTAGACGAAGCTATTGACAAAGAAGAATAAATAAAGGGAAACGAAGCGCGCCTATTGGTTGAAACGAGTGGCCACTATAGACGTAGGGTAAAAATGGATTGCATCTTGCAATAAGGAACCACTATCACTGTCTCTTCCATAAAAGCACCTTTCTGCATAAGGAAACCGATGGCATATATCGACGGTGAAACTACCAAACCACGTATCTCGGTTTGCGACGTCGCAGACTTCCTGTAATACTTTATTTTTTAAATGGAAAACTACTCAACGTCCAGTCTCGAAAATTTCTGTGATTTTTCCTCTTTGTGCGGAGAAAATTCTGTGAAAATTTCAAGGAATGATATTGATTTGGTCTACTTCAAAAAAATAAAATGCGAGCGTAGATTTTTAAACACCGCAAACGAGATACGTGGTTTGGTAGTTTCACCGTCGATATGCTGTTTCTAAAATGAGCCAGAAATAGTGGCTCCTTATTGAGAAATGAGGTCCAAATGATGAACTGGACTATAATGAACTGAAAGGTCTTTCATGGGTTGCCGTTAGTTAGCCTATATTACTTACTTCCTTTATGCGACGCAACCACCTGCTTTATCAATAAGATCGCTCCATTTGCCCTTTGTCTTATTTTTCCATCGCTTTGTTTGTCAGTTTCGATAATCAGCCCTTTGATGTGTTAGCGAAGAGAGCCGTATCGTGATCATTTTTTTAAGATCAAGTTTTCTTCAAAATCCCCACTTTCTAATCCAAACGGAATAAATAATTCCACTTGAAAAGCAAAATTTGCTATATTTCCAAAATCCAAAGGTTGTCAGAGAATAGTATGTGCGCGATATTAACAACTTTTGATAGTTATTACCCACTGCTCTTGTTCCGGATCTTGTCACAGAGCACATGGATGCAGAAACGATTTTTTCTTCAATGTAACGCTGAAAATTGTTTTTTAAACATGAACAGCATTCCACTATCTTGAGAAAGTCTAATTGACGGTACTACGAAGAAATTGATTCAATGTACATCTGCTCAGAGGGTCCACCATTTCAGGGTCCTAAAAAACCCCATGTAATAAACCTAAGCTGACCGGACCAATCATGAATGGGTCCAACGGTGTTCTCACTCTCTCCAAGGAGGTATTCAATGAACGTAAGTGACTCGCTTCTTATTTATAAAATACTTGAGAGACTCCAAACGAAGAGTCTCGGAACAGGTGGTCCTCATTACAAGCTCCTCATCCAAAAAATCACTTATATGCATACGGAAACAAATAGCACATATGTTTGTTTTCTAAAATGAGCCGAAAATGTATAGCATCTAGGTGCAGAATGTCTACCTAGTCTAATTCGTCCTTCTTTGAGGCCTGCGTTTCCATTTGTGGCGTCTTATCGGTTCTGATGTTTCAGGGTCAGACGATTTTCACGTGGTACGAGGGCACGATGACAACCAACGACGAGTTCAATCAGCGGATTAACCTGGCACAGACAGGCCCCCACGGCAAGGGCTCCATCAACCTGACGAGCATCCGAGAAACCGACAGCGGATGGTACGAGTGCAAGATCTATTTCCCCAACAGGACTCCCAGCACCAAGCAGAACGGCACCTGGTACCATCTCACCGTTGAAGGTATTCAATGCCCCTCCTCACTATAGGAATCATTACGATCCAAGGGAGCATAGATCTCAGGAACCGTTCTCTTTCAATGTCGTTTCTTTGTCATTTCTAACTGGAAAATCTTTAGCATTTTCTGACTCAAGAATCTTTGGCATCTGTAACTAAGAATTTCACTAAAAAATCTCAAAAAACTACAAGATAAATTCAGCTATATACATATATAAAAAAAGAGAGAGAAGAAAGACAATAACTGCCCCACTAGATAAAAATGGTATTCCACCTGATTAGCACAAATCATCTTCTTTTCACGTAAGTCAATTCCAAGGTTGCAAAATTGCAAAAACGATTTAATTTGTTTATAAGAACGTACCAGCTGGGCCGGATTAAGGGGGTGGCCACATGGGCCGCGGCCCATGGCGGCAAATTTAGGGGGCGGCAAATTTTGCAATTTCTTTAAATGTAGGTATAAAAAAAATCGGACTCAATAAAAAATTATCAATGAGAAAAGAGGACAAAATCTCTCTTTCCTGAGGGTATAGTAATTTCTAATTTTATCGTTTTTCGGTGATAAAAGAGACAGCGTATTTAATTAGTCGAGCTAAGAGAGGAACTAAACACGCAATTTGGCCTGGAGCTCAGCGCAGAGAGGAATGATGACGAGGACTTGAGATGAAAAGGACAAGCCTAGGCACGGCGCGGCGGTCGACATGTAACACATGTTAGCGCCTACAAGACTGCATGAATACTTCACCCATTGCGTCAAACACAGTGCGGTCACCGGTCAGGAGCGGTTGCCGTAAAACGCGTAGCGCCTACATGACTGCAGGAATACTTCACGCATTGCGCCAAACACAAAGTGCGATCAGCCCAGCGCGGCGCGGCGCAGCGGCGGACGTTAAAAGTATTAAACCACAATTATGTTTGTTCTTTCAATTTTTTGGTTCATTTCTCATTAATGGAGGACCTTGCCTACACAGAGATATGTTTACGGAACTTAACTTTCGCGCAAAGTTCCGTGAAATTTCACTTGTAGTGTTGACAGGGCTTTCGCAAAAAATGTGTCCAACCCGAGTAGGTAAACGCGTCTTATGCACCCCTCCCCCTCCGGTACATTCACTTGATGTTCCGAAACGAATGAGAAGGGGGCGGCAAAATACAGGCGGCCCATGGGCGGCAAGTAGGTAAATCCGGCCCTGCGTACCAGTACAATTTTTGTCCAAAATATATCCAACTTATGCATGAGATCAGAGGAAAAACCAGTGAAATTCTCAGTTACAAATGCCAAAGATTCTCGAGTTAAAAATGCTGAAGATTCTTCAGTTAGAAATGCCAAAGATTCTCCAGTTAGAAATGACAAAGATTCTCTTGGTAAAAATGCAATATTCGAGGCGAAATTTGACAACATTGAAATGTGGTTACGTTCTTTCGCGAGAGGAACGATTACATGATGCTGTCTCAAAGGCCACCTTAAAACCTCCCTTACTCACAATGTGAATTCTCTAGGATCTCCCCAAAGAAAGGAGGTATATAAGGGATGACTATGAATACAATAATATGGTCTCTTGCTGTGGACGGTCACATCGGGGNGGGGGGGGGGGGGGGGGGGGTGTCGGATATTCCTTCACCTCATCTGGCAACTTGGAATTAGAAACCGTCAAGTTCCAAAACAAGCGGAGACCGATTATTTCATCTAAAGGTTAGTTATCACCGCAGTACGTTAAGACGGCTGCTGTTTCCTTTCCGCCTGGAAACAAGCCATTAGCGTCTTTAGTGGCGGAT